AAAAANAAAAAAAAAAGAAAAAAATTCGTCATTCTGGTTAAATCATAATTGTTCCGCAATAACAGATATAAGACTGGAAACACTGATACCATCCAAATGAACGTTTGAATTTTGAAAGTAACTTGAGGCAATAGGAATTTGTATGAACAAGTTAAAAGAAGAAAGAGAAAAAGAAGCTTTAAAATGAGGACATTGGTAAGCAGACATATCAGTTAGTTCAGTCAATTGTCGTCCATCTTCCTGAGATGCCTCCCGTATACCAGTAATACCCATTCTTTAACTCTCTTATCCTACCATCAAACAACATTGCGCTAGGCCTACTACGGCTGAGATTGATTTGATGGTACGCATGAATGAATTTTTTGAAATTATAATTCACTTTAGCTAGCTCATTCTAACTGGATAAATATACTACATAGTAGCATTAGGACAAAGTCATTGACTTTTAAATCTCCACCAAACAGGGACACAGTTTAAAAAGGTTAGTAAAATTCTAACTCGATAAAGAATGAAACGCTTGACCGATCCATATAAGCATCGTCCCCAATATGGATAAGGATCTATCTTACTAGCATTGTATCATATTCTCACCGTAAAAAACAGCACAACTGAAATGGTTTCCATTTACTGAACTTTTAAATTTGAATCTTAATTTCAAATTCATTTCTATCTTTTTTCATCATGTATTACTATGCTTTTTGCAGCATAAATTCTCTCAGCACTTAAAGATTTATTAAGTAAATAAGTCCCTCTGCAAATAACAAAATAATAAATTATAAAGCACATTTTCTCAATAGAAAAATCTGCATAATGGAAAATTAGCACAGGGTAAAGTCAAGAAGACAAGGAAAGGAAGGGAGCGGAGAAAGCGCTTGAAATATTCCCAGTTTATTTAATTAGAGATTTTCAAAATGAGGCTTCTGAAAGTGAAACTCATTTATTTGCTTCTCCGACTGCTCCCTTTCCTATTTTCTTGCAATTGTTGAAGAAATGCTGGAATCAACTCTGACTAGTTTGATTCTACAAAAAGTTCATTTAAAATTTCAAATTTTAAAAACGAAGAGAAAAGTAGAAGCACCATATAATTTACAGTGAACACAAAATATATGATATAAACACACACTCCTCACTAAAACTAAATGAAAAGATGTAGATATTTGGCAACATTATCAAATTCTAGAAATTCCAATAGCTTGTCTTTTATCTTTTGCGAAACATAGATGGTCCACCGTCCTTAAGAAAATTAACAGGAAATTTTTTCATTTATCTTGCAGATATTCAAGAAAAAAAATCACGTAAAGAAACAAGCAGTAGTAATACCGGATAAGAGATGGACAGCAATATTAAAAAACTTCGAATACATACTAACAACGTATACTAATTCTTGGAAATTAGAGCAGAAAAGGATAAATGGTACGAAATAAGCAAAATATGTAGAATTTAAAGACGAAATTAAGAGGAAAAATTCATTTTGAGAACGGATATGGAAGAGACCACTTTGATTGTGAACCATATCTCAAACAGAAAAGTTAGGATTATATAGAAACGGACAACTAAACGCCGTTAACCAAGTTTTCTCCTCTCCTGACGGGTTTACGCGAAAGTTTTTAATTATGAGAAGTTATCATTCGTGGCAATGTAAATGTTCTCCATATTTGATAAGAGCCTGATGAATTACAACACGAATAACACTGAGCGTTGATCCTTTTCCCAGAAAAAGGAGCACCACTCTGTATATTAAGATAAGAATAAATTCTTTCTAAGATCAATTTTGACTAGAATTATATAGGAATCCAAATTATGATTGAGCCATTTTTTCCAATATTGGTATTATTTGGTCGAAATTTGGTCGTCGACCAGGATCTTCATTTAAACAAATGTTCATTAAACGTCCCATATTTCGTGATATTCCAGGTGGAAATGGGACACGTAGTCCTTCCAGTGCAATCTGGAAAGAAAACTGCAATTCAAATGATTCGAAATTTAAGGAATTCAAACCTCCTTTAAAAAAAGGTCTTTAAACAAAAACTCATCTTTTGTTGGGCGCAAGACAAAATAGCAAAGAGGGAATAATGACTAAAGCGGTTAGGAAGACAATTAATCCATCTTCTAAGTTAATGTTTCTTATAATTACTTTTTTTCCAGGATGGCTTGACTAAAACGCACTTTCCAAGTAAAATATGCTTTAAGATACTAATTCATCATGATGCCAAATTTCAAACTCTTAAAGTTGAATTCCAAACTTGATTCCCATCTTTAACATCACAACTAAATTCCACATACTGAAGAACTAAACAAACAAACCTCTTCCTCCTTTTTCCAGTTCCCTTCTTCCCAAGATCATACTTCAAGATGGCTTTATTCAACACTCATTTGTTACAGTTAATTAAGCCCTACAACCAACCTTTATTCCAATTTCCATTGGAGAAAGATCTGAGAACGGTACTTCTCGTGTATTCAATTCCCATAATAAAACACCAAAACTCCACATATCAGCTGCTCTAATATTTAAATCTGATGGTGAATACTTTAGCGCTGCAAAAAAAGAACAAATTATCGACCAACTTTAACGTTTGAAATAATTCCACAGAAAATCCAGCATTTAACTTTCAAAACTCATTATCTTAAACCAAATGGATATTTCATAATTATGATTTCTCTAATGCGTGCATTAATCGCTGTACTAGTTACGAAGAAACTGTCGGTTAAATATTACATTAAAAAAAAAAAACGAAATACCACCAGTACCAACTGCAACAACAATAAAATCCTCACCTTCCGGTGACATCCATGCTGGCGAATATAACCTGCCTACTTCCTGAAAGCTGAATTTCGTATCGGCCATTGAAATTTTTGCCGCTAAATCTTCGTCAACCACAACATGCTTCGAACTCAGATAATACCTCAAAATCAGTGGGTCCAACGAATGAAGAAATGACATGCCACGTGCTACATCCAAAGCAAACTTTGTCGCTTGCGCTTGGTCAATTACAACTGCTAAATGTTGGAAAAATAAAAAATAGGATTTGAAATTGCCTCAAAACATGCTTACTCGGCAGTTATGTAAGAGAAAAAAAGGGCACCAAAAAGGATGAGATATTTGAACAGAAACTTATACCGATAATTTCACAAGCTTAACAAATCGAAATATTTCAATAATGTAGAAAAATGGAGTGCCGATGAATATTAATAAACAAACTTTTCCAATTTACAGCAAAGAAAATATTGTACTATACCTGTCTGTTCGTGTAATACGTTATAAAGTGAACCAAACGACATCAGCTGACTGATAACAATAAGATTTGGTGGTTGATTACAGCAGGCCAGCACAGGACATACATTCGCATGAGCAAATATTCTGGAAAAAAGTTTACAAATATACAGCGATATGTTAAAGCGACAAATATGATGAAAGAATGTGGCTTGAAGTACTGAATCCATTCCGATTTCACTAAATGATCAACTGGAAAAACATGGAAAATGTGTAAATCAAGTAAACTAAGAAAGGAATAAATGCATTGTGGAAAGAATATATACCTTAAAGATGGGAATTCAGCTTGGAAGTCACGACTAATACGTGGAGTTACTTCAGGTACTGCTAAGATTCGAGCCACAATATCATTCCCTTGCCACTTGCCACGCCATAGTTCACCACTATGAGATTCAGCTATTTTCACCGATAAACTTAAAGATGCCATATCAACGCCTGTGTACCTGTAAACATTTCAGTGCGCATTAGCAAAACAGACACGACAAACTTCATCAAACCTATTAGACAATGATGTTAACTCGTAATGATATTGGAAATTCTAATATTACTTTTAGTACGAGTGTCTGAAAATAAAGAGTGAATTTAAGCAAGACTAACCTTGAAAGTGTGGCATCTCTAGTGCGGGTTTTCGTGCCCTTCCAGGTCTGATCTTTGAATGGTATTCTTTCATTGATATTTTGACCATGTTCTCGGGCAATTTCTAAATACGACAGCTAAATGCTGCAGTTAAAAGTAACTAGGATTTCGAGAACTAAATTAAAATTGTTAAAATTCAAGTAATTACCTAAAAAACTAGCAACAAAATTAAAAACCAACGAACCTGCAATTGAATTACGAGCTTGCGGCTGGCAGACATCAAGTGGCGTCTGTCCTTTCTTATTGCAAGTTCCTATTACAGCACCACTTCGGATAAGGTCCTAAAAAATATGTAACAAAACTAATTATCTGAATTATAATCATAGATGTCTGATTAATGAAAGATGCGATGGAAACGAGGAAAACTTTTCGGTAATGAAAACCCAAACAAATAAAATAATACCTCCCACAAGATGGTGTCATTTTTTTGAGCTGATAAATTTCGTGAAATGATATTTGGTGGAACTTATAAAAGTTCAAGTTTACTTTGGACAAAATTCACTATTTTACCTCGCAGATTTGCACATAACCCCAAAAGCACGCGTAATGAAGAGGTGTCATTCCGTGTTCGTTTGCTACATTCACATCTGCTTTCCGATTAAGTAATTTCTGAAAGTGAAAGTTTCAAGAGATTAAGAAAAAAGGAGATGAAAGTGATCGAGTAACGAAGAAGAAACGGTTTAAATTCTCAATGTTAATAATGGTAAAGAGGTTGGGAATTATAATTTTTGAAGCAATATGAACGTACCACAACAATTTCACGATTTCCATGGGCTGCAGCTAGATGTAAACTTGTATCATCACCCATATTTGTCGCGTTCACACGTGCTCCTCGAGAAAGTAGCAATTCAGCAATTGCAACATGTCCTTCTTTGGATGCCCAGTGAAGCAATGAAAATGCGTGGTCGTCGCTAAAAAGCAGAAATAAATGCATTACTAAAAACAGCAACTGAAAACTGTGTAAAACTTGAATTAATTATACACATGACGAAAACTCATGTTGGGAACATCAGTGGTCGAGTTTTGAATTTTCACAAAGTGCACTTGTCTAGCTGGCTTAATTTGATTATTATAGGGACAATGTTCTATAGATCAGTGAGCAAAAGGTTGGGAAAAAACTTGACATTTGCTTATTTTGACGTCGATTTATCACCAACACAGTTAAATTGTAAACTTACCCAATATTAAGGTCGTGTTCGGTATCATCAAGCCATACACGTACTTGAAACGTATTACCTTCACGTACCCAACCAAATACATCTTCCATTATGATGGGCACATTTGGCTTATGTGAATGATAATTACTTGCAAGAGACATGCTTAGCAAAATAATACGATTACTTCGATTGCAAATAGTCCAATACAGTTAAGAAGTGTCGGTGGCAATGGTTCTTCACTCACATATAGACGCGATGGATATGATGTGAACCATTAAGAGCCGTGCGGAAAGCACGGCAAACTCTTTCGTACAGCCAAAACCTGAAAACTTCATTGTAAAATGATTAAATTTAAGACCTGAATAATTAAAAAGAGCCCGCTAAGGTCGCATCGTAGAATGAACGAGATTAAAAAAAAAAGGCGCCCTCAGTCGTTATAATCTTTTACAAGACTCTAACAGCGCGACCAGGCCAAATATCACAAACCGAGTCTTTTAATATCGGATGAGTCTTTGGGAATTTAGCAAAAGAAAAAGTTCGTCAAGTAACAATTCAAGACACTCAATCTGGGAAATGACACATTTCGCAAAGTTAGAATAACTTGAAATGTAAAAAAATCTCGAAGAACTGAAACCAACGAAGAATCACCCAGCCACATGAAATAAGGTAGAGTCATGTGAAAATTTTGCAACAGACGAATAAAGAAGTTTTCGCCGGAGCAAAATTTCTAAATTAATCTGAAGCTCTACTGATGATGAATTTGTGGTCTTCCAATGATGGATTGACTGATTTTTGCAATCGGAAATTTTCTCCAAATCTGTTTGAACGAAACATAAATACTATAACGTTGTTTTTAGTCTATATGGATCTGTCGAATCCTGTCATACACTGAAACTTCCTGGCTTATAAAGTATTTGAAATCTCCCGATTTCATTACCTAATTTTTAGTTACCTTCATGAATATTCCTCGTCTGAATAGAGTACCTCCTCCTATTCCCAAATCCTACTAAACTGTAGCTGAGATTTTGTGGGTATGAGAAATGGTAATTGTTCGGAAATACTTTTCCTACTATTTGTACTAAAAAATATGGAATATGTCCGGAAATAAAGTTGTGCTAGTAATCCGGAAAGAATCGAGATTGACATTCTGGGATATGTGAAGTAAAATATGCAGCATTTGTAGCAAAATATCTACATATGTAGCAAAAAAAGAAGGAAAAGTAACAAAAAAACGGAACGGAACAATGTAAACATAAACATCAAAAAAAGTAAAGCAAACAAATAACCGTACAATGATTTAAACTGCAAAATAAAAAAGACAATTTGAAGTGTAATCCAAAATCGATCTGCATAAAAAAATTACTGCTCGTACTGTATGGTGTGAAATAATCAACACAGGCGGGTAGAAATGTTTGCCACTTGATAAAGATATCAAGGTTAATGACTTAAGTGCAATAATAACTAATAGAGAATTGAGAGAGAGAGAGAGAGAGAGTCGAAATTGAGCAATTTGAGATAAATAAATTCGAGAGTAGAAGGAAATAGTAGCACAGGAAAAACAACAGTTCAGTAATGAAATAAAAAATGAAAGGGAAAGTTCAAAAATGCCGTGCAAATGAAAATCCTCAAAACGCTACTAAAAATATTTCACTACATTTTGCTTAAAATTATACCGAAGAAATGAATGGCAGAAAAAGAAAGAAAGAAAATAGGGGGAAGAGAAGAGAAAGGGAGACAGAAAATGATGAGTTGTGAGGATTTCATGCAAATAACTAAAATGACAATTGTACGAATTGTAAGTGGGATGGATATACATACCTTTGGAGATGCTTCTCCTTGCTGTTTCGTTGAATGGACGAGTGCGCCAGCTGTTGATCGTTTCGATGATGCCTTCTGCCACCACAATCGTCGTCAAATCATATTTTATCAGGAGCCCGCTGCTGCTACTGCTGCTGGCGCTGCTGTTGTTGATGTTACACATCAGGCAGAAAGATGGAAAGGCAAAAGGGTCCCGTCTCTTTCGGTAGCTGTGGGTGGGGAAGGGTTAAATAATTAGATAAATGTATCGAAGCGGGATGGTCCGCAAGATCACCCACGCTCTTATGCTGCAAAAACTTTTACGATCCTCTCCCTCCCTCTTTCTTTCTCTCTCTCTCTCTCTCAATGAGTACACTACCCACCATTAGTGCATTCCAATGGTCAACCTGAAATTTTGTTTACTGAAACGAGGATGAGAAAAAGATTCATACCTTTACACACTGGTATATTTAGTTTAACATTCACACGCATACAGACGAACATAAGCTCCGAGAGTTACTGATGCAGATGAGAGAGGAAAAAGGAAGAGAGGGATGGAGAGAGAGACGAACGATGGGGAGAGTACCGGTCCACATCCAGTAATTTAAATTAATCGCTTTCAGGCAAACAAACCATAGGAAATCGTAATAATTTCTGCTAGTAATATATCTCTAATTGCACATAAATTCTTGAAGACAAACTTCAACGATAGTTTCATTCAACAACACCCGTTTTTGACCTTACAAGTTCATCTTACATGCACATGCATTACCCGTAGACGTGCGTTAGAAACTAGACTGCTTGGAGTATGTCATGAATTGTCACACTCACTGTTACTGTGAACTGCAATGTCACAGCTACACATGAGTCGGGAGACTCGATCATTTATGTAAGGCGGGGATTTTCCCTTTTAAACATTCTTTAATTTTTGGGATTTATTGCGAACTTGTTTTGTCTATTGATGAAGGTTGGTACTGTTCTAGATATATACCTGCAGAACTTCGCATCATGCTGCAATTCTCCTCCGCATGGTATAATTTCGAAAAGTTCTGATAGAAAAATACAATATATCTTATCTCCATCGGAACATTTTTCTATTCGAATGTTCCGTATATCCTTCTGTACTATTCTATGAAAATGATATTCTCTGTAATAATTTCCCTGTTGAGAGGAACATAGCTCAGCATTATATGAATTGTTGATGGAACTTTACAGTGAATCGAAAAAAAGGACGAACTTCAACCAGTTACTATTTGCGATTTGCTGGCTCTGCATCCCTTCTTCCCACATCACTTTCATCATCCTTTTTCCTTTTCTTTTTCGAGAAAGTCGTCGACCGGATGGGACGAAACATTTTAGATTTCAGATTCTTCAGAATTTGACAGGCAACACTATTACAGAATATCCTGTAATCATGAGATTACCTAACAATACGTATAAATTAGAGGGTTTAATTGGGTTCAAAACTTATGCATGGGATAGTAAAGAATACATCGCTGTAAATTATACTATGTAACACCTACGACAATTAACTCATTCACAGGACAGAATAAAAGAAATCCTCTGTCTCCATTAGTCATCAAATCTTCAGATCATTCTTCCTAAGAGAAAACGAGAAAAGAAGCTGACGATAGCAACAACTCATTGAGTGAAGTTTAAACTTGGAGAAAATTTGAGGTTATACTGAACATGTTCGTTATTCCACATAGTAGAAGGGTTAACACATTTGCATATGTTTTAAAATTTATTTCACTTCCATTATCGCATACTATCACATGACAGAACAAGTGATTGCACATAATCCTACTGATATAGCAAAGAATGTTAGCCATTCCAAAACAGCAGAAAGAAAAGAATCTTCCAAAAAAAAAAAAAAAGAAAAGAGTCTTCCGAAAAGAAGAAAAGAATCTGCCAGAACCGGAATCCGGAATTCCAAAAAGACATTAAAATGGAATGAACATTCTATTTGAGGAGCAGTCGGTGATCGCTGTTCTCAATATTTACCGCATTATTTAGATATTAAAAAAGTGTGTTCGGATTAGTCGATGATTCACCGATCATGAAATAACAGTTCTTCAACACTTTTATTCTTAGTATCATAAACTCTATCAGTTCTAGCTAAGCATTTCAGTAAGCAAAGTACAATGACAGTGAAAAAATCAGTACTAGCAATTCAGTATGAAATTAAAACTAAAAACTGATAGTGAAGTTAATAAATAAAACAGGAAGATTACGAAGAAAAAAATACTTCCATTGAGATTAAACGAAAAGAATGTGTATATAAGTCTCCAAAGCATTAAACTTTTGTGACCTGTTCATATGGATGAATTACACTAATCAAATTAAAATAATTAGTTAGATTAAACACAAATTCAAGATAAGCCAGTTAGAATAAAGGGGAAGAAACAAGTTAAGGTATAAAACACATCTTCTGGATCAGGAATCCGGAATTACTGGCAGAAACGGTCTCTGCATAAACTAAATTAGACGAAGCAGAAACAAAATAAAGAAGTAGAAATGAAGATAAAATTAGATCAGACTGTCAATCCATCTGGAATCTCCAGCGTCACTGCAATAATCTCGCAACAAGACCTCCGAGAAATATAAGGAATCACAGGACATTGTTGCGACAACCACTATCAGTTAATTCACATCGAACTATAGCTAATTGTCACTTAACCCATAGATTATATCCTCGAATGTTTCAAGGTGACTGTGGTTAAGAAATTTGAGGGGTGGGGAGTTGGTAGGATTTGAGAAGAGCAGGATAGCTGAGATTGTAAGTTGTAATAGGGTGAAAAACGAAAAAAGGTAGTACGAGTTAAAGGAAGTATCATTCAATGTCTTGATAATGAGAAGAATTAAGATATAACATACAAAATAAGGAGACAGCAATGACTGCTAAGATTTTGATGTGTGTTGTAATGGGAGAGACGATATAGATTGCTAGTGGTAAGAGAGTTAAGGATATGGGTGAAGGATGATGGAGTTCGTCTTACTGCCGCAAAGGGGGCGGAAAGGAGGAATTGCTATCCGAAAAGAACCGGTCAGATAAGTGAGTGGCCAGCATTAAGCAGTGCATCAGGTTGATGTCGGGACCGGAATAATGCTGCTTGTAGATTAACCCATCCTCCGGACCAGTTTTGGAAGCAGGGATCAGGTGCGAATGTACGGTTCATCACCAGGACATAGTGAAGATGTCTTAATATCTGCGGACGGTCTTACTCCAATGGTATGGATTTTACACCGATTTAAAACTTAATTCCTACATTTCTCAAAATGTACAAAATCGGAAACTTGACGGATACTCAATAGTGAATTATTTAAGCTTATTAATCATACGGTTTAGATTGAGAAATTACTTTTACACATTTTTGAGAATGTAACATTCAGAAGATATCGAAAGGAAAGGGCTTGAATTTCACCCATCATCGCTTTTCTAGAGTAACGAAGCTCGTATTCCGGAAGGTGGCTTCGCATTACTGTCAACAACACCACAGAATGCAGCACTTGCACATTTCATTACAGCACTTACATTCGACTCATACCAGGAACTTCTTTGGACCGGAAATAACATGGTGATTTACTTCAGATGATGAAATTTATTAACGAGATAAATATTTCTGCCATTCCGGAAGGGGAAAAAGTGCAGAGGTTCACGAAGTGATTGTAGGAATTTTCGGATTTTAAATCCGGATTCATTACAATTCTTAAATATTTTCAGGGTGATTACTTTGATATTATCCTTAGAATAACTGTTCCACCGGGATCGTGAAGTAACTATTTTGTCTTCCATACATACTCAAAGCCTATATACTTCTGATAAACTTTAGATTCACAAATGTAAAGCTGGTTAAGATTTACTTTCCTAATTATATTTACTTCTTCATAAGACCTAAAACGAGATTTATAGCACATGAATTTGCATACTTTTCTAGTACTTTTTACAGTTCCATAATTTTCAGGGACGTGTAGTGTCGTTTTACGGTGCACAACTTGACAAGTACACAGCATTCTTATCAGCAAGTAATTCAAGCATTCGCTCTTTGCTTGCTTCAGAAACTGTTATTTTCTCACTAACATCAAAGCGCTTAAGAGCTAATCGTCGACAAGGCATTTCGTTATTTACACATACGTAAGCTCGTAGCCATTCAGATTATTCATTTAAAAAGTTCCTTAATCATAGAAATTTATTATTGGTATTTGCAAAACCACTGTTTGTAACACTAATTCGTGCCATGTTCGGTTTTCTTGAGGTTAGCCATCAGCTTTGATAGTAGCTCTACACTAACAGAAATGACGCAAAATTAAATATGGTACGTAGGAATGCTTTTTCAACACTAAATTTTTCAAACATGGATTTATAACATTATTTTCAGATCCGATCATATGACTGATCTTACCTGCATGCATCGACTTTCAGATGTACCGCATAAATTATTGTTAGGCGGTAATCAGCAACAAATCATCCAGTTTGATGTGGAAACACAAAAAGAAATACGAATTGTTAGGTTTTTGAAGATTTCCAACATTAAATTTTTTAAAAGGTAAATTTGGCCAAGTAGTCTGACCACCAGAACTCTAATCAAGAAAATATGGATTTTCTTCTAAAACAGGAATATTAATTTCAGGTTTCTGTTAAACAGAAAAATTGCTTGGCACTACGGTCGAATCAGAAATTTTTATTCAGTTCTGATTCAGAGGGAAACGTGAGTTTCAGTTAGACACCTCAGTTTTTTTCTTTTTTAGGATTAGTCCTTTGTTTTTAATAGGAAAGGAGTATTTTCTGTTGAATTCTTTTTTAGGTAACACTCCGACATCTTACAACAGTGGATGCAATCCATGCCTTACAAGCACATCAGGGATCGGTAGCTGATTTTGATGTTTGTGGCAATAAACTTATCACATGCGGTTACTCTCCACGGTTGGTGGTTGATTCAAATTGACCAAATTAGAATGACTTTGACACCTCAACAATTTCTGTAATGTTAAGCTGTGACCATACTTTCAGTCTAACTCTTCGAGGTTCGCCCATCGGTACAGAACTATGAATCACATGACGATTTCATAGCCATTTTAATCTCCCCGTCTTATTTGCATTATTGATGCAAAAATGGTCAGTGCGGTGTTTTTCTGAGCTTGATGTTGCTAATAATTAAATGAATCGTTAAATAAATATCCTAGCGTATAGGTTCTATTATAGATTGGGTAAAATGGCAGGTGACCGGTTCATAATGATTTATGATCTAAGAACGCTGCGTAGTTTGCCCCCGGTACCTCTACCAATTGCGCCGTCATATTGCAGATTTCTGCCATCTTATTCGGATGGTCGGATTATGGTTTGCTCTCAGGTATGCTTTTATAAATTTTTTGAATTTGGAATTTTTGTAGCAATAAATATTACGAACACACCAGCGATTTTTATAACTAATTTTTTCCGAATTCTAATGCACATAGCATATAAAATTATTGCGCAAAAGCTAAAATTGAAGAAGATACATGCGTTCTTTTTCTTAGAGTGGTGAACTAATCATAATGGATTTGAATGAGCAATCTGGTCAGATGCCTATACAGTTAGATACAAATGGCTTTGCTATTACATCCCTTGATGTATCCACTTCGAAGCAGTGTATTGCTTTTGGTGATCAAACGGGTAGGCCAGATTTTCAATAATTTTGTGAATATAAAATTTAATTGAATAATTCTAGAAGCAACGTTGAATGTAGCTAAGTAAAGTTAATTTATAAACTAAGCCTATCGAAAGAGCTCTTTTTTCATTCTCGTAGTAGAAGATAGGGGCTCTTAACAAAGAACTGGAAAGATAGTATTTTAAATTAAGTAATTAACAGGATAAAAGCATTTATATTTTTATTCTCTATAATTGATACTACATGAAGATTTTTAGGTTTAATACACCTTTTCTCGGATCGAATGGAGCCAATTTTTAATGAAAATTCTTGGGGCACAGATTTTCCAGATCCGGTAAGCGGAATTTTAATCGATTCTCTATAAATGAATAATACTTTCCAGCTGTATTTCTAGGAATCACCAGCATTCTAGGTAGCGGATGTGTATCCTTCTTTAGAAAGGTGATGATTTTTATCTTGTTTGACATTCCGTCCTGCAAAGGCATTACTTACTTGGACAATTTTTGTCTGTTAGATTTCACTGCAACAGCTCGTTTTCAGATTGCTTTTCATCCACCAGTGAACATCGACGATCCCGAGCCATCGTATGGAGTGTTTCCTCTTCCGTTTCCGATGGATGATCATTATGCTTCAGATTGGCCTGAACAATTGTGTATTAGACGGTTTAGGTATATTTTCTTTACACTGTCGTATAACTTTATCAAATATTCGGACTTATGAGGAATATAAGATTTTCGGGAAATTTGCCAAGGGAGAAAAGTTTTCCAAATATGTAGGTTATGCCTAAAATAATTTCTTTACCTTTTCTGTTTTAGGCAGCCAGACCCGATATCAGAAAAGGTGATTGATTCAATGCGGATGGTACAGTTTGTTGGATATGCTCATAATCCTCGTGCTGGTACACCATTGCGCGGCTTTAACGTTTGTCCATATACAAGTTCCGCTCATGATAAACGCTTTTCAAATAGTAATTTCGATTTTATAATATTACAGCCCTACGGGCATATCCAAGGTTTTTCGATAACGTCTTCAACTACTGTTTCCTTTCAATATCCCTAAGCTAGTATCTCTCTAATACGGATCACTGATACTCATTCACTCAGCTTTCTAAAATTAATTATAATGGTACTTCCTGCATCAGTTTAATCTGTTCAGTGTTAAAGCTAAAGCTCAACTTAGTCAACTTCAAAATTTCCCGTATTATTTTCCTACACTGTCTTTTAATTATTGAAAAATGTTCAAAGATTTGATAAAAATTTCTTTTCAGCAATGAAGAGTGATGAACTATTCCACATTCCGAAGTTTTATTTGCGTTCCGAAGGAAGGTTAACCTCTAAGGCTGACGAAATTGATTCTAAGCGATATAATCGCATTGAATTCAATGTATTAGAAAATAGTGTCGAAACAAGTCCTGCATGCATGCTTCTACTTGTAATTCTTATAATTCACGATTATTTTATAACATTTTTCGCTTTTCTGGTCTTTATTCTAATTTATATTCTGATTCACGATCATCTACTGAAAAGTGTATCTTCCTGTTGCTATAGATATGCTAAAAAAAACTTCCTAATGCATCGAAACGTATACTGTAGTTGAAGATTTAACATAATTTCAAGCAGTCGTCAAGGAGGATTCAATTCGTTGATAAATTTTCATCATTCACGGCCCAAAGCTGAACTGCAAATGCAAAACATTTGTAAAGGAAACCACATGTTTTTAGGAAATCTTTTTTTCATTTCAGGCAATGTATCATCTGATGAATGTAAGAACTGTTTTTCTTTCGCATTTCTGCTATCTGGAGGGCTGCATTTCATGTGAAATGAATCTCCTCTTTCGGTTACTTACAGACCGACCAGTATCGAGTGTGTTGTCGGTATGTGATTTTTTCAATCTTTCAAATGATAAAAAAAGATCATTTTCAATGATCATTTTTTTTTCAATGATGAAATGAGTGAGCAAGCTTTCGGAAGTTTCTCGAAAATGTTTAAACTGCAAAACTTGAAGAGGTCATCTTATTGTCTGAGTAGGCTATAAATTTTCACGTAGTAGCCGTAGGAGTCAGGTGCTGTTGAAGTGCGGCAGAACATGATCCTAGAACTTGTGCGAAAAAAAAAGGTATGCAGCTTGTTTATTGACTCGCTGTGGTCAGATTAAGTGGAATCAGCTGCATCAAAGCATAATTATTGGATTAATGAACATACTGTAGCTATTGCGGTTGCTATCGGCCTTTGGTGTAGTCACTGATAAGCACATTATATCGGTTGAGTAGAAGTTCTGACACTGACAGCATGGTTTAATATTTTTTACTGTACTTCTAGGCCAAAAATTTTATGAAAACTTTTCGATCCATTGATGACGGTAAAAAATGGGCAGATGCAGTTGCTAATGCAAGTTTGGCGCAAGCAGTTCACTTATTTATGCAAGCTTTCAGCAAAGTACTGGATAGGGTATGCATTATTTCGTAATTTATGAAATGATGTGTCAAAAGATGTGCTTTTTGTATTCTCGTTGTTTAAACTATAAGAAATGGACGGAATATATTGAAGTATGAGTGGCTATATAAAGATATTTTTATATTCTCACTAGTTAGATAATAAGAAGGATGAATCAACAGTAGAAAGTGTAGAGAGGAATTCTATTTATTAAGCTATAGTTCATTTTTAATCATGTTGTTAGGAGCTATGCTTATTAACAGGAGCTTTCTGAAACTACTGCTGGAGTGGCGCTTCGCAAGGAACTGGAGATTTCGTTTACTTTGAATAATCACTGTATCCGGTGTTCCGAGCATTATCAGTCAGCCTTATCCCAGCTTTATATGTCACTAGCATATCCAACAAGTAAGGATGACATGCTTTTGGGAATTTTTTTGTATTCTCTTTCACTGAGTTACTTTCATTTATACTTCCCAAATTCGGCTCCAAAACGACAATTTGATTTCGTCGAAAATAACTTCCAGATAATGAAAAAATTGGATTTTGTACATTACTCGAAAAGACCCTAAACTGTCCCGAACAAAATGAAGCTATCTGCCAAAAGTGTGGGAAGTTAGCACGATTCGCATCAACACGTCGTGTGCGTTCACTCCCGAACATTCTCGCTCTAGATATGACAGCCAGTACAGAAACGGAACAAGCATTTTGGATTTCCCACATCCAGGTTTTTTTTTTTGTTTCGAAATTTAAGTATTGCTGAACCATACTATTTTATTGAGTTGCTAGTTTTCGTTATTTGTTCAGCCTGTGTATTATATATGAGTCATGAAGTGTTTTTGCTTATTTAATGTTAGTGTTATTCAAAATCTGAAGAATAATTTGCTACTGAAAAAGATGAAAATCGGAAATGTAAAGCTTTAGTTTTTGAACTTTTCCGTTTTTGCTGTTTAGGCATTTGAAAGTCGAGCAGCGATAACGTCGAATTCAATAACAGAACAAAAAGTGAAACTTTGTAGGTATGGTATTAAATGTAAAAATCCTAATTGTCGGTATTTTTATAATGTTGACAGGTTTATGTTAACATATAACCTAAATTGGATTCTTTTTTCTCGCCGGGAGGACGGAATTAAAAGCAAGGCAGGCAGATCTGCTAAATTTTTTGTATTGCTCTTCATTCGCAAGCGATATAATTTTAAAGTTTGAGTTATACGTTATAAGGCATTCATCCTAACAACATATTTCACGAATTCTTATCGGTAATCATTCATGGACCCGGAAGATGTATTTGAATTGGCAGGTCGGAAAACAAGTAATTCATTTAAGAACTAGAGTAGTTATTCTCTTGTTTGCATTCGTATCTCAAAATGCTGCTTTAGGATTGGACGATATTTGTGAACAGTTTATTTGTCTAACCTCAAATTCATTCTAGTCAATCTGAAACAATGACATCAATGACGGAAGGCACTACCTCATATTCTGAATGTCCTCACTATCTGCCGAACTCAGTACATATCAAAATAACGGATGGTATTTGCACGGTTTCGGAGGTAGCGAATCATTTGGAAGAACTAAATATCTTTAGTTCTGATTCTGATTATTTATAGAAGCTCACTGAGAATTTCAATAATTTTTATTTATTCTGTTTACAGTCTTTCAAATTTAGAATAAAATGGAAAGTAGTACATCCTTTCACCTAGCAGCAGGCATATTTATCATCAACGAAAATGAAGAAGAGGGAACCAACGAGCATTTGGTCACTGCGATCAGGTCAAAACGGGTATGTAGTAGTTTTGTTTTTAACTCACTTTCCTCTGTCATTTTGTGCTGGTTAAATATTTTTACTTGCAAGGATTCTTGCTGGATATTGTTCAACGATTGGTCTGTTACACGAATCTCAGAAGATGAGGCTCTGCGTCTGCATGCTTGTTGGAAATTACCAGCTGTCCTGTATTATGTGCAAGATAAAGAAAATGTTGCTAAAGAAGGTGATTGATTTTTTTGACGTCTTATTTAAACTATCCAAAAAGAAACGGACGATTCCTCACATGTATCAGTTCCAGCTGCCAAAGATGAAAATCGCGCTATAATTCCACGATCCGTATTTTGGAACGATCTGGATTCAAACAAAATCAAGATACCGGAACGAGGAAGTAGAGTTGCGATCTATGCGAAATATACAATCAACGAGGTACTGTTTACCTATAGTCCTCAATTTTCAATACAGTATTAATAACTTTTTAACACAATGTCAATAACTTTGAACCCTGTAATATGATGAACAACAGTGGCATTTAACCACAGTGAATTGACGGTGCAGTTCGGCAGCCAATATTATGAATTCTTGTATTTTGAATGAGGTCGCACCATTATTATTAGGAGATGTGACATTATTATTAGGATTTATACTAGCTGTATGTTGAGAATGATTCTGAGCAATATATCATGAATTTTGCTATAAGTCCCAAGTTTAGACTGGCGATAAGTCAGTATCTGAAGTTTCTGCAGTCGACGAAGATGGCAACTGTTTCATAAGCAGTATTATAAAGGAACCAGGAGCAAAACGTGACATGGATAATTCACAAACACTGAAGAGAGTATCTTTGAAACTTTTATACTTGATTCAAGAAAAATAACAATCATTGGATACCAAATTGAACACCTATTTGAAATGCTAAACATTCACGTAAGTATTTCACTTATCGTTATCCAAGTTATCCAGGATAATATCCTTAGAAGTAGAAAAATGAATCATTTACAACATGATAAAGTCATGTTTTCTTGGAAATTCCGGCTTTGATACAATCCACTTCTACGTAATCTTTTTGAAATTAAGTAATATATACCCACAACTTCACTAGAATTCTTCAATAATTCTATTCTGCATTATTATCGTCTTTTGTGACTGCACGTGCTGATCATGAATGTATATTGGTTTCTTAAAAGCTTTTGTAGTGCTCGCCACATAACTCAAAAAAAAATGTGTATATATCCACAACTTCAAAAAATATATCCACACTATTTATATGTAAAGTTATAGGTGTCAGAAGAGCAAGTAAAAGATATTGTGCTGCTTTATCGCTCACTGTTCAAACGTTCGCTTTCGTTGAATGCCTTAGCACAGCATTTCTTCGGTAGGTTTTTCATCAGTTCTAATCATTTTAAATCAATATTATTTTTGGAGTCAAGGGAAATTTTCTTGAAAGTTTACAAAATAAAGCTAAGCGGTAAAAAGGTTGCTTTATATTGTTTGATACTATGGTTTTGAGGCAGTATTGTAATAAAATATTAGCAACAATGTATATATGCAGGCGAATCAATAGAAGAGGATGAAACTGATCCGATCGATCTTGCTCGCCTGTCTCTCCGACTGCACACAAAATTCGATGAGTTAAAGGAAGCCGACGAGACTGATATCAATACTACTTCATTAACCCAGTCAGTGGAGACAAATATTTCTTAAATTTGGGTTGTTAAGGCGTTGCAAATTTCACACCGTATTCCACATTTTAGATATATCTTTTTGCAGAAAAGTTCTAGTACATTTATTTATACCTAAAATGCTGAATAGGTAGAGTGATGGTAGAAAAATAATCATCCAAAAAAAAGTCCCAAAAATATTAAACCAGAGAATGTCAGTTTTTGGAATTTTACCTCAATTCATTATTTAATCCAGTCTTGTATTTGTTCTTCCCTCCTCGAATATCTTCGTATTTCTCTTGTTGTATATTTTTCATTCCTTCATGTAACGTATATGCAATTTTTCAGCAAGTAATCCACTTTGTGCTTGGTATCTTGTAAAGTGAAATATTGTAAAATTTATACTTTGCTTATCCATTCATTTTTTCATTGAAAAAAATATACATATTAGTATCGTATCTGGTGAAGATGTTTTCTCTGGAAGGCTTTTTCTGCCTTATTGAAATGTCATTTGCATCGTATAATCAGATCGGTGATATTTAAAGCATATACATGAGGTTTCAAGGGAGCAAAGTTGTATATATGTGAGGTTTTTACCGAAATGAAAAAGATTGGAAAAAAGTGATATATACGCACAAGAAAAAAGAAGTAAGTTGAACAATTTCTCCAGCATTTCTGCAGGGAAAACTACTTTCATTTTTACAAAACCTGTTTGGATTCGTTGCATCATCCACCATAATCACTGCTAGATGTTCTTCAATTTTAACGAAAATTACTTTTTTTTTAAATTTATGAGCTCGTGAAGACTGGTGTTGCGTTAACGTTAACTTCTAAAAGTCACATTAAAAAATTTTTAAGAAGTTGGAATATTAGGTTTATGAGCATCAAAAATCACGGCTTGATCGAATCAAAATCGTAGAATAGAATTAACGATTCCTTGGTTTACAGCGAATTCAATATAATGTTATGATGTTCATTGCATGTTTATCCAAGATAGTCAACGGAGATCATGCAGCGATTAAATGGTGTCACCTTTTTGTAAAATTTTTCCAACTTGCCAGTTTTTATGACATCCGGAGTGATGTGTTTGATTTCATGATTTCGGTTCGATTTTCGTGGAGTAATCGGGTAGTTTTTGCTTTGATTTTCCAACAAATGTATATTTGTTGGGCAAGAGTCACAGTCGAGCTAGTAAACTTACTTGAATAAAATGCTTTTTTAGGATTGCACCCAATGGAATACGTTTGGCGACCACTGGTCAGGATGACCAAATTGCAGCAGAAGTTGTATGTTTCGACAATTTCCAATGAAGGAGTGGTGAACCGTGATTGTTTACGACTCTTCATACGTGCAGGTAATGGAGGGCAAGGATTGCAGCGATTTAATGGTGTTGGAGGAGATGGTGGTGATGTGATCATGGTTGGACATTCAAAGATGACTTTAGAAGCGATGCTGAAGAATGCTAAACATCGTGTGATGAAGGTACAAGCTCAAAGTGGTACGAATTCATCACAGACTTCTCTCATTGGTATCAATGGGAGGCCAAAAATTCTCAAAGTTCCGGTAGGTGTCGATGTGATAAATGCGGAAACCAAGGTGTTGATAGCACGTTGTTCACGACCGTTCTTCAATTATGTAATAGCACGGGGTGGTCGTGGAGGCTGTGCTGAAAACTGCTTTCAAGCAACAGCTGGTGAGCGGTTTTTCATCGATCTCCACCTTAAACTTCACCCAAACATCGGTCTGGTTGGTTTCCCGAATGCAGGAAAATCGACAGTTATGAAGGCGTTGGTACCGAAAAAAAGCATTAAAATAGCCAGTTATCCGTTTACAACAGTGAAACCTCAGATTGGTTACATTAATGACTTTGAATTGGATTCCACTGACGATGATGACGATTCGTTTAGTTTGTCAATCGCCGATCTGCCAGGATTGATAGAGGGAGCAGCAATGAATCGCGGAAGAGGTCGCGAATTCTTGAAGCATCTGGAGTTCAGCGATATATTACTGATTGTTGTTGATGTTCTTGGCTTCAAACTTGATTTATCCTTGAGTAATCCGTACCGTAATGCTCTTGAAACTGTTGCACTTCTGAATATCGAGTTAGAAAAGTATGATCCAGCTTTGGTGATGAAGCCAGCGATCATTACTTTGAACAAAATCGATTTGCCTAATGGTGAGCAAAAAGCCAAGGAACTGGTTTCAATCCTGGAAAAGAAAAATTGGTCAGAAACGCTATCAGAAGAAATGCGACCCACTCGGCCATTTTCTGTAAAGGCAGTAATACCGATTGCAGCGAAGGATCGCCGTCTGGGCGATTTGAAAAATCAACTGAAATTTCTCTATACACGAATGCATCCTCTGTCAGCTCCAAACTTCGGCTCCGTTAAGAAAACTGTACTCTCCTGACTATCACTGGTTACTTCGTTTGTCCATAGGTTCCTTTTCTATGCAATACTTGGTTGAATTTCAGTTCTTCAAAGGATTACTGAATGAGATAAGATAAAATACATGATGGAGAGCAAATTTTACGATTGCTGAAATCCAAACTTAGATCTCAGTATTTTTATCATTTCTTTTTCGAGTTGTCTTTTTTCGTACTGTCTCATATAGCTCTGTTCATGACTCATCTGTTTTAGTTGGATGACATATGGCTTTTAGTTGGATGACATATATATATGTATATATGATGTTGTAGTAAGTGCCATGTCTGAAGTTTCCATTCTTTAGGACTGAATACGGGTTTTAAATTGTTCAAATATTTTTGAGTTTACTGTTTACAGATGTATAAATTTTGGTAGTTCCAAGATTTATTCACAGTATTATGTATCCTTGATGATATGAATCACAGTTGGAAAGATCAGTTATCCAAAATAAAAATAAAAAGTCATGATGCTATATCTATACAGGGATTGAATTCCTTTGATATTTTAATCAAACTGAATTTGTGATCTCAGCATACAATTTGCTTTTTGTAGATTAAAATTTGGTTCCATGTTGTTTTAAGAGAATGTAGTATGTTTGCAGTAATATATATGTACCGCAGCAGTGGTGTTATTTTTCTTCGCTATATATATTGACGATTCTGCGATGGATTTCTCAGGTACTACTAAATTTGTTTCATGTTGCAGATCTGCATAACCGAATGGCACCTGGTAAAAGTGAACGTCGTAAACGTGGTCGGTGGGAGCAGTACAATGCTGATTTCAATGCCGATGAAAATTCTCAATCAAGCAATTTGGGTGAAAGAAATAATTCGAGCGATAAAGATGCTACAGGTTCGTTTTTTTGTCGATGACTGCTGATGGACTAGGATTTAGATGTTGCATTTGCTCTAAAAACGATGTGTTAATGATCTAAAATCTAATACAAACGTATTATGGACTACTTTTTCCCTTTTAAAACTGGAAGTTTTCAATTTTTCCATATCTGAAATTTTGATGTTCCAGTCTTAGATATGAACTTGAATCCAATTTGGTTATCAACATCGCTTTGGGTAATGTTACCCTTGCATCATTTGGTATATTTACTACACTGGTGTTTGGATAATTGCGCGTTAGTATGGTCTTAAACTGCTTCAGTTAAAAATATGTAATATCGACCATTCTTCCCTACATATTTTCATGCTCATTTAGATGGCTGCTTTGTGATCCAGTTCATTTATTTCTTTTTTCAGTACCAAAAGCAGCTAGTCACAATTTGGAAGGGCAGACTATGATTACACGTACTGATGATTTTGGAGCGAAGGATTACCGACATGAAATGAAATTAAAGCCTGATCATGTATCACGTCCTCTTTGGGTTGCTCCCGATGGACATATCTTCCTGGAATCATTCAGTCCTGTGTATAAGCATGCCCATGATTTCTTGATCGCCATTGCTGAGGTTGCTTGTCATTTTATTGATAATTGTTCCCGTGTTATTTTTATCTGACATCCTAAGTTCTTTACATCCTTAAAATTTGAAATTTACACCTTAGATATGTGGAGAGGTAAAAAAAAGCTTAGGATTTACTCACTTAAGTAGCGATGGATTGAAACAATTAGATCAGTTTAATTTTCTTTCAATGCCAAGCTCAAATGATACAACTCTGCATCATGTTTAGTACAACATATGTCACTGGACTATTGCTGTAGGACCCATATGCCTCCTATGCTCTGTCCCATATGGTTCATTGCTTTGTTCGAATCAAATTTTGATATCATCATTTAGCCAGTCTGTAGACCAGAATTTATTCATGAATATCAACTTACGGCTTATTCACTATACGCCGCTGTATCAATCGGTTTACAAACCAGTGATATTATTGAGTATCTGGAAAGGTTATCGAAATCTTCTTTACCGAAGGGAATTATTGAATTTATTAAAGTAATAATTGACACATTTCTTTCTAATTTTATTTAATTAGTTAAAAAAGGCAAAAGATCAAAAGTAACCCTTCAATTAGAATAAGTCCATCTTAAAAATTTGAGAACTTTATTATGTGACAAAAAAAAACAAGAAATGAACATTGGTGGGAAACTTGTGGGTTCTATTTAGCAGACGAAGGTTGAGCAGCTATTCAGGTAAAGAATGAAGCTGCAAGAAAAAGGAAAGGTGTTATGCGAATTCTTGTTAAATGGTTTTTCTTCATTTGTAGATGTGTACTCTTAGCTATGGAAAAGTAAAATTAGTGCTCAAATACAATCGATATTTTATTGAATCGCGCCATTCTGACGTTATACAAACTTTGCTGAAGGATAAAGTAATCCAGCAGTGCCTTGCAGAAGACAAACCGGCGATCGAAGTACCCCAAACGGTAAATTTTCACGTGAGACAAACGCATCTAGCTGAATTTAGACTTCCATTGAGTAATTAGTGATTTCCGGAACATCGAATGATATGCAAATATTGAATCTCAAACAGCTCACTAGTGTCATGATTTTTTCTTTGGTTAAATTGGTTTTTAGTCCACTTTATTATAAGGTAGGACGGTGATCGTTCGATGAAAAATGCTGTTAGGTGCGATTTTTTAGTCTGCGTTCACTTAATATCGCTGGGAGTTTTTTTTTCTTTCTTTTAATATAATTACATAAAAATGTAACACTTAGCAGTAAAGTAGTCATTGCAAAGAAGTAGAATCATTAAGTCATATTCATGGGTGTTTTTTAAGCAAATTCTTTTTTTGAAGTATTATGAACTGTTTGTTTTTGGTCCTTTCAAGATCTATTGCAATTTTTGTTATTTCTCAGAAAATAAACGTGGAAAAAATACAAATTCCGGGGATCCAACAGCAACAACAAGAAACGAAAGAAAAGGATGATAAAAAACCAAATGATGTGCCTGAGGACATCGAGTCATACTACGGTAAATTGGATGGTGATGACGAAGATGAGGATGAGGAAGCTATCAAAAACCTGCAACTGCTAACTTTTGAGGTAAGTAAACAGAGATTTTGAAGTTAAATGAGCAAATAAGTGATTTTTTTTTCGTCGAAATTCTGAAATCGTTAAAATCTGAGAAAATGTGACTTATATATGCTTATCTTAGAAAAGAAAGAATCCTTCTAAAATTCAATTACAACTGAAGTTTTTTTTTAAAGATCAGGCAGGAATCGATTGAAATTGTACAGAAACGTTGCATCGAATTAGAATATCCACTGTTAGCTGAATATGACTTTCGCAACGATACTTTCAATGAAAATCTTGGAATCGATCTCAAGTCATCCACTAATCTGAGGCATCGTTATTTTAGTTTAGATTTTGATAAAAAGAAAACTTTATGCAATTGGTGTGCCAGAGTTCATGTATTGCAATTCCAAATGTTGTCATGTTCACAGGCCTTATCAGGAAAAGAGTTTACGAAAAATGTTCGGTAACAGTCGTGCACGTTCTGGTGTTATTGTCCTACCCTGTGGTGCAGGTAAAACGTTAGTGGGTGTTACTGCAGCAACCACAGTCAATAAACGGTGCTTGGTGTTGGCGACGTCAAACGTTTCAGTAGAGCAGTGGCGTGGACAGTTTAAGGTAGCTTTTTCAGTTGTCTGTTGTTTATCTCAGTAGTCATTCCTATGACATTTATAAAGGAATCCTTTCATGGAAAGGTCCTATATAAAGCTTTTTTGAACAGGGGAAAATTTTTCAAAGCTTTTTTGAAAAAAGTCTCCCTTTTCAAATTTAGCTCTGGTCAACAATTCGAGATGACCAACTGATTCGGTTTACACGTGAGGCACGTGATCCAGTACCATCTGGCTCAAATGCTAATAAGCCAATTGTTTGCATAAGTACTTATTCCATGGTTGCATATACTGGAAAACGAACGTATGCAGCTGAAGAAGCTATGAAATATATCGAAAGCCGAGAATGGGGACTTGTCTTGTTAGATGGTATACGTTTTTTTAATTTCGAATATATAAATACTTGTAAACATTGCAAACATTTTCTGCACGTAATTTGATAGAAGTTTGAATTCTTGCTCTTCAACTTTCGCGAAAGATTACTTTTCCAATGTATATATGGACTGGTTATAGTATTTTGCAGAGGTACATACAATACCGGCAAAAATGTTTCGACGAGTGCTAACAATTGTTCGAGCACATTGTAAATTAGGATTAACGGCTACGTTGGTCCGTGAAGACGATAAAATTACGGATTTAAATTTCTTGATTGGTCCGAAAATATATGAAGCAAACTGGATGGAACTTGAAAAAGCAGGACAAATTGCAAAAGTACAGTGTGCTGAGGTAATACTTTTTAAAGAGGTGTAATATTAAGACGAATAGGGCTATTCGTTGTGTTGTTTGCTTAATGTCAGTTTTTGTCTAAACATGGTAACACGGTACAGCTTGTCGAGTTACCTTCCAGGTTTGGTGTCCCATGAGTGCCGAATTTTACTCGTACTATTTGCGTGCTCAAATTGGCCGCCGTCTTTTGCTTGCTGTAATGAATCCCAACAAGTTCCGCATATGTCAGTTCCTTATCATGTATCACGAGAGGCGGAATGACAAGGCAAGAGCTACAGTTTTGGTCTTTTCTGAATCACAAGAAGTAAAATTGACCGGCATTTTTTAATATAAGTTACTCGGAGAATGGTGCAGTAGTTTAGAAATAGTTTGTTAGAAGTAAAATTCAAGGTACTATCTTTGTTCCCTTCAACTCCGTTATATGTCTTAGGTTTACTGACGAAAATCATCGCTTATTCCTGTTTGAAAAGTTAGGGAAAATACTGAGCATTTATAAGGGACTGAAATGAACATCGCGACTTTTCAGCAATAAACCCCAAAGAATGAAATACAGGAGGGAAATGCCCTGTTTATGTGTTGGATTATTGCCGTTGCAGATTGCTACGAAGCCACGGAGAAATATAATAATCCTGAAATCAAGCTGCTGTTGGAATTTTTTCCGAATCTTTTCAAGAAAGAACGATCCCATGCTGATTTAGTGCTCCAATCTTACCGGAGTTGTCATTCTGAATAAATTAATCAGTTCTGGTTACACTTATTCTTAGTAATTTATTCCAAATTTAAGATCATCGTCTTTTCTGACAATGTATTCGCGCTGAAGAAATATGCGATAGAGATGGATAAACCATTTTTATATGGTGAAACGGGACAAAATGAACGGATGAAAATCTTACAAAATTTCCAATATAATCCGAAAGTGAACACAATTTTCGTATCGAAGGTTTGTTCGAAATAAATCAATTGAGAGTAAAATTCATGTATTCCACGGGTGGAGATAACAGGAAAATCTAACAAAGAGATAATGGGATGAAATAATTTTTATTTCAGTGGTACTCTGCATAGTATTCGGCAGTTGTGTCACTATGGAATGAGAATACTGGTAATTTTGCCGAATAAGTTTCACGTCCCGACCAAATTTTATGCTTTTATAGGTTGCAGACACATCTTTTGATCTACCTGAAGCAAACGTTCTAATCCAGATTTCTGCACAGGGTGGTTCTAGAAGACAAGAAGCACAACGATTAGGACGGATATTGCGAGCCAAAAAAAATTCAGGCGATGGATTCAACGCATTCTTCTATTCACTGGTTTCCCAGGTAACACCTTCAATCTTCTTTTCTTCTTGTGTGAGTGTATTCTTGCTGGAACATACTTTTTCAGGATACTGTTGAAATGAGTTATTCGCGCAAACGACAACGTTTTTTAGTGAATCAGGGTTACGCTTATAAGGTTTGCGCCTTTCATAATCGACAATACCAAGTCTAATTACTTCGTATTATAAGTTCAGGGAAAAGCCAGTTTTCCCATTCATTACTTGTAATAATTTGTGAAATGCTTAGTTTCTTTATAAATTTCAAACAGGTTGTAAATCGATTGCCAGGAATGGAAAAAGAAACCTTGAAATTGGCCACTAAAGAATCTCAACTCCAGTTGCTGCAGCAGGTACTGGCTGCTTCTGATGCTGATGCGGAAGAGGAGGATATTAAGGAAGAAAGTGTAGATGGTTCAAGAGAGGCGAAAGTAAGTCAATTTATGCTCTATTTGAATCTGACTTCAATGGTAGATGTTAGAATCTCTTTTATGCTATTGTAAATATGTACACTCGCTTTCATACACTTATGAATGTTCGAATCTAATTGGAGAGGATTAACTCCCTGCTACTTTCCTTCTGATTGGTTTATGAGACTAATCTCTGAGACTTTGCAAAATAAAAGACCAACCATAAGCTCAAAAATACAACAAACCGCATCACTCCTTCACTTCTGCATCTCACAGTTTACTTACAAATATTAGTTTATATATTTCGTAGGCGATGCGAAAAGAAGGCTCGTTTTCATCATTCTCTGGAAGCAACTCTATTTCATATACGCAGAAAACAAGAACTGTCAAAGATGAAGATAGACACCCATTATTTCGAAGATTTCGAGCTTTCAAATAAATTTATTATTACTTTTTATGTGTATATAATGATTCTGTACATATTTCATCTCCATGTGATCGGTCACATGATACTATGTTGCTGAAGGAAACAATAAATAAGGTGTTCCTGGAATATAGAAACCGCGTTTCTTATTTGTTGTATCCGGCTTGATTTGGCTTCTGGAAATGTGAATTTTATTTTAAATTAAAAAACATTTGCATTTACCACCGGACAAAATTTTTATTTCAGCAAAGCACTGTTTTGGATGTAAAATTTTGTTGCTGTTAAGTTACGCGATAGAAGCCCTTCAAAACGAAATATCCTTCGGATGGCAGTATATTTTAAAATGAAACGTACCAAAGACGTTTGGGAGAGTTTCTTTTTTTTCATCACTTTTAATGCTTTTTCCCCTAACTTCAATTGATTTAAACGCAAAAATCAGTGACCTGCGGTGTATTCGGTCGAGAAATGACTGGAACTAGCGATTCGCTTGTTTGTGGGCCATATGATGAGAGAGCGTTCATATTTCTCGTCATCATACTATTAGCTGTCGGTACAAGCTTTGTTGCACTACCAGGCTGAAATATCTGAAATTCAAATTTAAACTTGCAATCAACATAAGTTAGGTAAAACTGGCGGCGATTCTAACTGGGAGACATTAACGCACTTGTTGTTGGTACTGCTGTCCAACAACTGACGGAGGAGACTGTAAAGGTTGTGTGTTAATTCGAACTTGCGTTGCATTCTGAATATTTGTTGATGCCAAATAACCCGACGGTGCTACCATATGTTCATCAGTTTCTGCAGTCACCTGTAACTGATCAATTTTTCTTGATTTTCATATGAAAGCAGGGTATATAGTTTGATTTCTACTGTATTTCTCCATCCCCCTTGCGATTATAGCGTTACTTCTTACATTGTGCATAGGACATCATTTCTATTAATCTGAAGTTGGAAACAACCCGATCGGAAAAGTGCGAAATTATTTGGCACAACTGCATCATTTTAAATTAGAGGTGTGTCATATTTCAGCAAAAAATTGAAAGATGTACATGAGTGGAAGTCGCCGGTGGTGGAACACTGTTATGTGTTGATGAGACAGCTACGGCTGAAGGCGAGACTGGTACTAGATTTGTTGACATAGTGGGATTTCCAGCTGCAAATCCATCATTTTTATTAATTATTTGAGGAATCAAAACTCATGAATCCAACAAAAGAACGGCTTACTGTTATTAATACGTTGATGTGACTGTTGCACATGGTTATTCAGTCCAACAATGGTTTTGTAACGCTTTGAACACTGGCTACATTTGTAAGGACGTAAACTGCAAATAATGAGAATTTTAAGATTAATTCCGTTAAAATCAGTCGAAGTGAAGTTTTGAGGTTAATTAGAATATAAACCCAAATCTGAAGTTTAAGCTAGACCTAAATTTAAACCAAATTTAAGTTAAATGCAAAAAGCATGTCGGAAAATTTGGAAAATGAAAAAGTAAGCTTCCTTTTCATTAACCTCGCTGACGTATAATAATAGATATTTTCTTTCTTGGGAAATAACAAACTTTGCATATTTACTAGGTGCACCGGACTGTATCAGTGGTGCAACTTGCCCAGGTACCACAGCAGTCAAGTCGAACGACACTGCACTATTTGCGCCATTATCCTCAGTATATCCATGTACTTGACGCGCATGATAACGTGCTCCCTGCAGATTTTTATATCGTTTGTTGCATCCTTCAACTGGACATTTATGCCGCCTTTCATCGGTCCTATATATTTGGAATAATATGCAATCACAAAAAAATTAATGCAACCTTAAACGAGATATAAAAAAAAGAATTAGAAGAACTGAAATTTAATTAGGGATAACAAACATGCAGCTATGCACAAGCTACTTGCATCTAAGCAAAATAACAGCAAAATTCTGATATTAGTACCGTCCTACTACCCATAGGAAGTATCCCACACTGATTACAACAAAAATAACACAAGGTTCCTAAACTCTCCCACGAAAGTTTCTTAGAAGATCACACAAAATGACACATTGATTAAATCTCACCCCTGCTCATAGTCATCACAATCTTCGTTCCTATATGAATCATTCGATTCCTCATCGTGTTGGTCTGAAAAGTTGTGAAGTAGCTTCAGAAACAAAATCACTTCGAATTTTTCGAACTTTTATTCTTTGAAAAGGAAGACTAGCGGTAAATGTTGGGCGGGTTTACTTTTAGCATATTGCAGTCAATTTTTGAAGCTTTGTGGAAAGCTTTCAATATCAAACTTTTTAAACTCTCAGCCTTCAACATCAAACTTTTTCAACTTCCAAAATCATTACTCAGCGGATCCTTCCTATAATAAATGACATACCAATTGGCAATATAAATAATAAATTAGAATTTATAAAACTACCAAAACGCGATTTGTCTCCAGCTTGTCCAAAAGGATTCGCACCAGCAACTGCAGCTGCCAATGTTTTTTTCCTGGAAAACCACGGAACTGGTCTAAAAGTAACCACCGTTTGCATCTAAGGCTAGAAGAAACGAATGATAAGCGAAAGAGATAGATCATGTGCTGAAGAACAAGTGATAGAAGTGATATCTAAAGTGAAGCACACTTCAGGACAAAGAGATCTAAGATACTTTTATTGGAAAGCACTGCAGCCTCAGCAACATTGTTGGCAGTGGAGACATTATGAAAGCATAGCAACGGAAGTTATAAACCTGTAATGACCGATTGCAAGCTTCACGGGTTCGGGGTTGACCGGAACTGCTTTATGCGGAGGAAGTTTCGAAAATAACCTTAAAGTATTACTGAAATTAGAAAAAATCGAATTTACTAGAAAAACGTCGGGAATTCTCACTTCCTTATTAATTTTTTCGTCAAACACACCAAATCAGTCGTTTATGAATTACTTAAATATTGTTTTCAGGAGCAATTTTTGCTTCCCAAAAGTGGAGCAACTCTCCTAGTCATAAGAATTCAAATCATACTTAATTCTAGCAAAAGAGATTTAAGACGGAAAAATGTTCTCAGATTTAAACAAAGAGTTCACTTGCAAATGGCGCTTATTGGGAAGACAGCAGTTAGCGCCGCAGCTTTCGTAGGATCATCATCCAGAGAAGAGTTTTTAGTGCTTTCCTCTTTTTTCTTCATTTCTTCCTCGATTATAGCTGTAATAAGGGTAACGAATGAAATTCAAAGTAGGCAAATCAAATACCCAATATATATTTATTCGTTACTGTCTGTATTAAATCAACAACTGCTCGTCAATGCTTTTTTTTTTAGCAAGTACTGATTGCCACAACACTCTATTCGAGGTACACATCATGCAGTTATTTAGCTTAGTTGATTTCTTCACTCCGATAAGGCTGGAAGTTGAAAATTGCCAATTTTACCAATTTTATCTTTTATTCAGGCAAAAATTACGAAGCTAAAATTTATCAAAATATTAACCTTAGGAAGTATTCAAATATCTTTACTATTCCTTTAGTATCTTTCATTACAGTAGTACAGAAAACCGAATCGGACAGGATGATTAGAAATTTTGGGAAGTGAAAGATGAAGTACCAAGTTTTCAGAATCCTCGCCTACTCTAACCCTGACCAAATTAAAAACCAACAAAATTATAGAAAATAAATTACGGATATGTGTCTCCTCGATGTGTTGCAGCAAGTCATGGAGATTTCCAAAATTAAGTCCACAACCACTAAACTGACAAATGTTAACACTTAACAATGCTAGAGCCATCCTCCTGCAAAAAACAAAAATCTCCAAATCATGATTTCAAATATTTGCACGAAAGAATTTGAGCTTTCACATCTCGTAATAACGGATCAGAAAACTGCAATCTGAAAGATGGGTCGAAATAATATTACAAAATCTAAATCCCTTTTATTCAAAAACCAAATTTTGCGTATGCAAATAAGAAAGACAGAGTGAAGACGGATGTTGTCCAACCCTAACACTTCAAGCAATCTTCTTCCCTTAGAATATCTATATTATACAACGTCTATTGTTCCATACTACTACAACGCACAAAATGTTTTCATTGCTCCTATGCGAGTAACAGCCCTTTCCATCTGCGTAAAATAAGGCCTTTATTACTGTTACTGCTAACGTTTATCTTTTCTCTCTCTAGTGATGTATTTCTCTTGTTTCCTTGATATTACTAACTGTTAAGTGACTTATATCATTTAGTAATTATACTCGTAGCAGAATTACTCAGACATCCAATAGAATGAATTCGGCATGATCAATCACATGGGATAAGGTCAAGATTTCAGCCATTTAAATTGTTGGCTGGCTTGTCCACAGGACCGTTTGTTTGTTCTTCAGTCAATTAATATACCTATCTAATCATTAATCCATCTATTTACTGACATCATATAAATATTACAATTCATAGTCACTTATAAATTGCATTCAAGCGCCCATATTCACAGTGCCAACTGCGCCCTACGTCTCTGAGCAATCATTCTTTTTTCTTTTCGCGCACCGCCACCAACTTCCTTTCCAAAGCTTCATTGCGACACACAGAAATTATGTAACTTCAATCCAAACTAACCCAAACTATTTCGAAATGGAAAAACCGAAGCTTGAAATGAAAGGACAACACATCGACAAGTTAAACTAACGCAGTTTAACTGGGAATTTTCAGTTGCATCGAATGGCATAATTCTCACAACGCTCGATTGCTCGTCGTGTTGGAGAGGATACGGTATTGGTGTGGCCGCTTGTTCCTGCAGGTCAAAACGGGCTCGGAGAAACTCTGTCCTAGAGGTGAGGGTGGGGGTGGGTCGTTGCAAGGTTATTTGAGGTCACGGCTGAGTTAGTGCTTCAGTGTATTTCTTCCCTTTATAAGTTACGCAAGGAATTTCACATTACTGAAGGGAGGGAGAGAGGAATGCTATCTTGGGGTAGTAGTTAAGGAAATCGTTGCAGGATTTTGGAGGGTTGCGGAAATCGAAGTGAAAATGCGTTATGATTGTTAATTTGACATCTGCTAGTCAAGTATGAGTAATGCTCCTCGCTCCTTCCGTCGTTCACGACGTAACGCTAACACAGCAACAACAAGCACAACGCATCCAGATGACGTGATATCGGCGGATTCATCAGGTGGCGACACGTCACCTCCTGTAAGTTTGAAGCATATTTCTTATTTATATGGCGAACTAATGTTTTTGTATTTTTTGCTTTTTTTATAGTTTGCCTCCAAAAATACCTTCCATTTCTGTGGAGATTACAGCCACCCCACGAGCGAGTTGCGTTTCAGTTTCATTTGTTTCCATTTCAAAAATTTGAGTTTTTCAGTACTTCGAAATTTCGTACAAATGTTTTTTCGTACTCGATAACTGTGAATGGCACTCAACACACTGTTAACAGAAACATACAGTTTGCCATGTAGCCTAAAGTGACAATTAGATGGGTTAACTTTTTATTTAAGCACCGTATTTGTAATAGGAAGTATCTCGTACTCTTGAATGGATGCAGCAATGGATTAACCCTACTGACCCCTTTTCATTAATTAATAGTGCTGAAATCAGGTTTGTATATCAACAGAGTCTTTATTTGAAAATTGAACTTATATTGACGTTTGGATTTAAACTTTTGTTGTGAGGTATGGAATTAATTATTATCAAGTTACTTCCTTTTCTTTTCGTCTAGACTCGACGACGTCGTCTTAATAGTGACGATCCTATGGAGGGATGTTCAAAAAGGGAAGGGGTCAGTACGAGAAGGAAAACGGATGCGAAAATAGAGCTGGGCATCCGGCTTATAGCCCAGATGCGACTCATCCATAATACTAGAAAAACTGTTGCATTAGAGAGGTTAGTTTTCCAAATAGTCATACTTTGAAATTTCAAGGAAGTTCAGGAAAATACCTTATGAAATCTTGCAGTCAAGAAATATGTCGTGTTCTAGGACAAGTATTGGAAATGAAAGTAAGGGTCAAATTGATGCTGGGATTGTTGGCAACGAATTGACATTTGAAAATGGAGCAAGGTATGTTGTTAGTATTAGTTTCAAATAATGACCTTAAATGATTTTAATAGTTGTTGCAGTATAAGTTTATCTACACTGAATTGGAAAAAAAAACTCTCCTAAAGATTTTTAGGAAAACCTCTTCTGGACGACCCTCTCCTAAAACAAATTATGAAAGTCAGATTCCGTATCCACCTTCTGAGTTGTTTGTTTACTCACATTTGCAGCTACGGAATGTCTCTGGATTCGCTGTTAGGTCCAGAAGCGAAACGAGAGGATATCATCACTCGAAAGCAACATGTCCGATCAATTCTGGATGCATCAGAAACGTCTCTTTCTCCCATTGAAATAAAAGTGGAAGAAAATAGCGCAGCATCGGTAATTGCTCTCTTGTCATTACGAATTTTAATTTTGTGCTTTCAGAGTTTTTCTGAAATAGTTCATTTTTCACCAATGCTCATTGAAATTTCCCGCACACTTCGAGAAATTTTACAGCCTTGTTCTTCATATTTGGAGCAACAACCATCCACTTCAACAGTTGCAGCACATCCAGCATCTTCGATACCTTCAGCTACTGCACATTCTACACCTCGAAGTTCTTCAGCGGCTGGAGTAGAGTCAAGTGTTGAACGAGTAGCTAAACAGGTTGGCTTCCTTATTGTTTATTGTTTTTTTGGACTCGTTTTTGATGACGAAACTATGTAAGTTTTATAAGTCTGCCAATTTCGGAGATACCTTGAATCTTGAATAGACTGATTGGTCATATTCGAATTTCAGGGAAAAGATGGAAGACTTCACTTTACTGTTTCAAAAATGATTGATAGTTTCCAGAAAACTTTTGTTTTTCACTGTTGGTTATGGTCATGAGAACAGATAGCCCGAGTGCTTAGAACGCTTTGAGCATTCTGAGTCTACGTATTTTACTTCAAGCAATTAAGATAGGGTTCTTTTCGCACTGGAAGTTGCACGACATGCATGTATTTTTTTCCCATTACTTCTTTGCTTTCTAGGAAGCTCAAGTATTAGCACGAATTGCCGAACTTCGAAGACAAGGCCTCTGGACAGCATCTCGGTTACCGATGATTGAAATGCCTCCACGAAATAAAACACACTGGGACTACTTGCTGGAAGAAATGCGCTGGATGGCCATAGATTTTCGTCAGGAGCGAACTTTTAAACGTCAGGCAGCGAAAAAGGTCACCATATCTTCAAGTTGGAATTTTTTAAGCATTCTAATATAGCAGAATAGCTCACAACACATGAACGTTAGGATTTGGATAATGGTTTTCTCATTTTGTTTACATTTTAAGTTGTCGCTAAATATTTTTACGGATATAGTTCTCATCTCAAATTGCACGGATGTTACGGGATCGAGAGCAAGAAAAAGAACGATCGGAACAGCGAGCCGTGAGAGAAGCAAAGCGTGTTTGTGCTCTTATCGCAAAAATGGTTCGAGACTTCTGGCAGAATGTTGACAAAGTGGTTGATTTGCACGCACAGGTTGAGAATTTTTATCTTTTATAGTAAATTTATAAATTTTTCACGTAAAAAATTAAAATAAATTTTGTATTCCAGTTCTATCTTTTCGTTGCTTTTCGGTGCTGATACTGTAAATTATATTGAGTTTTTAAACACTTTTGTTTTTTTCTTTGTCTCTATACTGTATGTGCTTAGAAATTTATGATTTTTGTGGTTTGAACTTCCACCGGCAAAGAAATGTGGAACTTGTGAGTCCAGTCAACTTGTTTTAGTCCAGAATGGAAATATATCGAGTCTAGTTCAAGCCTTTGAATCTGTTTCTAGGAAATAATCGAATCAATGAAGCGGAAAGCGTTAGACCAGCAATTGGAAATGATGGTAGGTCATGCTGATAAATTGAGTGAAATGGTGCAGGAAGGTTTGATAGGCGAAAGATCGAGCAGAGCATCGTCATTGCGGAGTGGTGATATTACTAAAGGTTTGCACCCCACATTTCATTCAAATTCGATACTACTTGGCTATTATGCACGAAAATATGATGCTTCTTTCTCGTATTTTTATGGTGTTTGTACTTTTTGCTATTTTTTTTTTTTGAAATGCACTTTTTTCATAATGCTTGTAAATTCCATAATCCTAATGGCGATGTTTGTTACACAGGAAAAGGTGTCTTTCAGATGAGGATGCCGCAAGTTTTTCAACCGATTCGGATGATATTTCAATTTCGGATACTGAAGCAGTGGATGGGAATGTCGAGGAGGAAATGCAGGGATTGGTGGCCGAAGGAAGTCTTGAACTTGATGATTTTCTTGACTCGGTATATTTCTATGTTGTAAAACTTCAGCAAAAAAATTGGTGATGTAATGAAGCGAGTGAATTGATGTCGAACGAAATGATTCTTTTTAGTGATCCATTTGTATTTTTTATGGACTTATACGCATCAGTGCATAGCATTGAATTTCAGCTTCCACGTGGGTATCTGGAAAGTCTTTCAAAATCTAAACAACAGCAGGGCTTGCTTGGGCCTACGCAGGACACATCCACCGATTATAAACACCCAGAAGGAAGTGAAGTTTCTACTGAATACACAGCATCGGAAATCACACAGGGTATTTAGCACAGTGGTTTTTAAATAATGTGCTTGTTTACTTTTGGGGGGTTAAGTTTTTTAATCTTGTTTACGTTTTTTATAGGTACAAAGTCTTTGTTTTTCAAAATTTATCGCAATTTTATTTCAGAGGAAGATTCGACACGTCATAGTGCATCCATTACGCAAAGCATTTCTTCGGTATCGGAAAAAGAAACTCCTGATCCTACACAAATAGAAAATACAGAAAAAAGTGCTATAGGCGCTGCGATAAACTATGATCGGCTGACATCAGAGAGTCGTGAAGAGCGACAAAAAGAGTTAGCAAATATTGCGGAGGAAGCTTTGAAATTTCAGCCAAAAGGATTCACCTTAGAAACGACGCAAGTAAAGACGGAAGTACCACATCTGGTTAGGGGTGCGTTGAGGGAATATCAAATGGTTGGCTTGGATTGGTTAGTGACTTTATACGACAATGGTTTGAACGGCATCTTAGCTGATGAAATGGGTTTAGGTATGTGGTTTTTCCATAGTTACCGTATCTTCTTGTTTTGATTTGAACCATCCAATTCTTTCATTTCACGAAATATTTCTCGAAAATTTTAGGAAAAACAATACAAACGATAGCATTGCTTGCACATTTGGCATGCAAAGAATATATTTGGGGTCCGCATCTCATTATTGTACCAACATCAGTGATCTTGAATTGGGAAATGGAATTTAAAAAATGGTGCCCAGCTTTCAAATTACTCACTTATTTTGGTAATCAAAAAGAACGAGCTGAGAAACGGAAAGTTTGTTCATTTTATTGCTTTTAATTGGATTTCTTTATCTCAAATCCTTGCAAAAATTGGTACCAGACAGATGAACTTTATTTTCAGGGGAACAGGTTGGTTGCTATAAGCGGTTGTGTCCGCTATTATAGCAAATCTGCGTGACTTGGTGTTAGAAGTGGGGATTTAGTTGTTTAGTAATTTATGATGTGGTTGAGATTTTTTCAGGGGTGGTCTAAAACGAATGCTTTCCATGTTTGCATTACTTCATACAAAATTGTTACCCAAGATATTCGGTCATTTAAACATAAGACTTGGCAGTATTTTATCCTGGATGAGGTAAAATTCATTTCATTGTAGTCATTGTTCACAGAATGCTGCTAACAACATATTGTTTACGATCACTTAATTTATCGATAACTTTTATGTTTATTATATATTACTTAAATAGGTATGGGGCATCTGAAAAGATAACTATGTATTAAATTGTATTACTTGCATTTTTGGTTTGAAAAAATGCATTCCTTCTTCCAGGCACAAAATATCAAAAATTTCAAAAGTCAGCGTTGGCAAACGTTACTAAATATCCGTGCGCGCCGTCGTTTACTTTTGACGGGTACACCACTGCAGAATTCTTTGATGGAGCTGTGGTCACTTATGCACTTTTTGATGCCAGCTATTTTTGCATCACATAACGATTTCAAAGATTGGTTTAGTAATCCTCTTAATGATATGATGGAAGGTAATGCAGAATGGAATGCTTCTTTAATACAAAGGCTTCATAAAGTACGTATGTTTCAGAAAATTTTGGTTTTTCAAAACTTTTTTTTCTTGTGATTTTCCTGCTTACTGTAACGTGATAAAGGTGAGACGTTCCCGAGGCTTCTATATATTTTCGAGGCTTCAAATAATGTGAGGATTCACTTGTGTTTTTTGGTTAAAGCCAGATTGATAAGAGCCTAAGAAGCAAGTTCCTGATATGGAATGGTTCTCTGAGCTTCTTTTAGCAAAGATTATAAACGCTCATTTCGAGTTTGTAGATCCACATTTACAACTAGGCCTGTAATTATCAAAATAATTCTGTTTTGGTAATCCTTCAAATTTTTCCATCTAGTCGTAGAAGTAATCACAATTACAATGCTTAATGGAGCGATTTCTGATGTTTAAGAAATTTAATCCGTCATTGTTTATTTTCAAAATGGGTTGACTTCGAAGTTTTGCATCGATAATTTTCAGGTGCTCAGGCCATTCATTTTGCGACGTTTGAAAAGTGATGTGGAAAAGCAGTTGCCAGAGAAAACGGAACATATTATCAAATGTCCTTTATCAAAGCGACAGCGATGTCTTTATGATGATTTCATGTCCAGAAGATCGTAAGTTTCCTTTGAGAGTCATTAGAAATGGTAAAGAAGAAATGATACAGTTTAATGGTGAGTAGAAATTAGTTTAGGTCACTGTCATTTGTTATGACATCTGTGAATACTAGGAGCATATCCTGCATTTAGATTTTGCTGTTCTTGAGACCTTTGTGCTACCTATGTGATATATAACATTTTGTACTAATTTTATGTTGTATTGTATGTTACTAGTTGAACTGAAGAGTTTGTTGGACTATGAATTCAGAAACATTGGGAATTTCCAAAGTAATTTGACAGCATTTTGAGTTTGTTAGGAATTTCCATTGAAACTCACTGCAGTACTATCAACTAAATATTGTCAAAATCACTTTTTATTTGTGTCACAATCTTTTTTTTCTGTCAAAATCACTTTTTATTTGTGAGCAATGGTTCTGAAACTTCAAGTTGTGATATCTCAATTGACTATGAATTTCATCTTCTAGGACGAGAGAAAATTTGCGATCAGGCAGCGTTATGTCAGTATTGAATATTGTTATGCAGCTCCGGAAATGTTGCAATCATCCGAATTTGTTTGAACCGAGGCCGATATTGTCACCTTTTGTAATGCAGCGTCTTACGATTACTTTGCCGGGTATACTGTTAGACGTTTGTCAAGGGTTAGTGATTTTTCAAGTTCCGATCTATTTTTATTGTAAATTTGGAAGCACAGGTGTGCTTCGAATATAAATCATTCATGGCTAGAACATGCTGCATTACTACTTCGAAATTTCAGAAAGGGCCTCGAAGAAATGGATGTTTTGGATCTTTTCAAATTTTCGTCCTCACTTGGCTCTCTCTTTGCGTGCAGCGAAGGACGTCGTTTAGCTATTGATGAACAAATGTTGAACGATCATCTTACAAGCCCAGTGGATGTACCAATGCCAAATTTAGGAGGGTTTCATTTCTCACGACCACCACCGGTCAGTACAGTCCTGTCCTCCCAATTATTTGGTATAAGAAAGTATCTTTGTCATTTTGCAATCTATAACGCTTATCCATGTGTTGAAGAACTTTCAGAGGGACAAATTAAATTTCCAGTTTTATAAAACTTTTGAATTGCAGCAGCAGCATCCACAACCGCAAACGAGAGAAGGATCAAAAGTTTTCATGCCAGTCCCATTGCCAGCAGCAGGTGGGGAAGATTTTTTCTTTTAGAAACTATTTTTCGTCATGGAATAACTTTGCAAGTCATAGACCCACAAACTCAAATAGGCTTATGGTAGTTTCAATGCTGTTATATCAACTGTTCACTTATCATCAGCTTATCAAGTCGTCGTCACCTTCCACTCCTATTCTTCAATGTTTCAGGCATTCCACGAGGAAATGAGCTGTACGTTTCGGTTGATGATCTTGGCAATGCACGGGTTTATCAACTGGTATGGTTTGTCGTGTTCAGGTTTTGAGGTTGAATCTTTTTGGATTTTTATCAGATCAAATTATGTCTAGAACTGTACTACTTTCTATATTTCTAACTCATGTTTCACAGGTGGTTGATAGTACTGGTGGTCATACAGTTCGTGAATGTGAGCCAAGTTCTGTACCTAGCAGCCGTCTCTTAGTTTCTGGTGCAAGAACTTCGCAAAGCACCGCTTCTGTTGCTCCTGCTGCCAGGACATCAGCTGGAACTTCAGCGCAACCAACACTGCAAATATCACCAAAACTTTTGTCTGCGAAACAGAACACAGTCGAATCAACTACATCCTCATCTACAGCTGTTCCGTTACTCAAAGTAAGCGGTTGATTTTCTCGAACTTTATTTCCTTTCTCCATCTGCATAACTTCTGAAGTTTCGACTATTTCAGAAAAGATTTCGTCTTTTCTTTTTCTTTTTTTTTTTTACTGAGGTTTTTTCTATAAATCGATTTCAGCCAGTATTTCGGTCCACAACGGTTTTATCACAAACGCGCTCTTCAACCGAGACTTCTGCAAAGGGTACTGGGACAGTGAACAATGGCTGTACCTCACTTCCTGAAACTCATATTGCTGCAACATTCCCGGTAAATAATGTCTATATTACTTTTAAAAAGGAAATATGTGAAACAATGCAGATATATATCTCTTAGCCCTTTATACCATATAAATTACTAAAGATTATTCAGATCGTTGTATCGCCCCTTTTTCCATTTACGCAGTCTCTTAGTTCTTCGCATATTTTGGAATTGAATGCCTTCATTTGATTAACAGTCATAGCTGACTAAAATTTTTTGTGATCCCAGATAAGTCGAGCACAACAGGTGAAGTTATTGGAGCCAGAATGTGCTAGTGTGGGTAGTGCCAGCAATGCAGTTGATACCAACCGAGTTCAACTCGGAGTGATGGAAGCTGATGAGAAACGAACCATAGTTGTTGCAGAACAGGTCGCTGAAAAATCAGACTTATATGATTTCCTTATTTTGGTTAGTATACAAAGCTACATTCAAGAATGACTAATTTTCGACCCATTTGCTTAGTACAAATCGTATTGATATATGCTTAATATGACTATTTTATGTTGGAAATAGACAAACTTTTACTTTTGAATGACATACTTCTCCTTTCGCATTGCCAAGTATTTTTCATGTATATGAATAATTGCCGAAACCTTTTGCTTTTCAAGGTATCCTTTACTGTTTCAGTTCTTCAAATATTTGTTTGATTTGTGTAATTTTTTCTCTATATTATTTAAATTTGTTTCTCTTACATTTAAATAAATCCGTATACCATTGATTATTCTTCTACTAAAGTTTTCAGATTACGAAACAAAGATGAGGTAGCAGTTTTTAGTTTATTTTTTTAAGCCAGATACATCGAGAGCTATGGAACAGAGAAAGATGGAAAGGTTGCAACGTTGTGCAGCAGTTTGCTCTCGACGTTTATTATTCCCCAATGTTTGTCGCACACCGTTGGTATCAGATGAGCTATTAGCTGTCATCAAAAGAGAGCTTGGTCGGAAGAAACATCGTCGTTATAATTCGTCAACAACAGGTATGCAAAGTTTATTTTCTTTTCATGATGAAAAGGTATGTCTGCTTCCAAGTTTCCTTGATAAGGAGAATGTTTATTCTGGCATGTTGTGCAATTACCATTTCAACCACGGATTTATTATAGATTCGTTGGGATGGTTGGTACAATCGTTGACTGATTGGACTAGTGATGCATCGCAAAGGTGAAGCTAATGTTCTCATTTTAACAAGTTGAATAAGTTCATTCTCTTATTCGGTGTCGGGCGAAGAATAAGTAGAATTAATTCTGGTAGGTCCAGTTCTACATGACATAACTCCAGTTACAATGTCATCTGGAATTCCAGTTTGTCGATATATCGGAAATCAACTACAAGATATATGAACTTTCATTATATTTTCTAATTTTGCAGGTTCACCGTTTTCGTACATGGCGCTCTGGCAGATGAACCTGATTTGCAAATTAGTACTACTGGATGTCATGCCTACATGCGAAAAGAATGGGATGATTTAAATGAAGAATGTCATCGCATAGTGCTGAATTCTGACAGACTATTTTCTCTTATTGATATGATGCAGAAGCTGCAATTTCCGGAACTGCGGTTAATTGAATATGATTGTGGTAAGTGCTCCTTCTAAAAAAATTCAAAAGTCATATGTGTGCATCTCTTTATATGTATGTCTATTTTTATTTATGTAATCTTCTTGACTTTTCCGGTTCCTTCATTTTCTCTGTTATTTAAATTTGAAAAAAAAAGTATTTTCCACAAGAATTTTAGATATAGATTTATATGTCAGTTTTGACAGTGTCAACGTTAACGTTACTGTTCTTTAAGAAAGCTTCAGGTAAACTGCAAGTACTTAACAGCCTGTTGCGTGATCTCTTCCTGTACAAACATCGTTGTCTAATTTTTACGCAAATGGCACGAGTTTTGGATATCTTACAAGCTTTTCTTTCGTTCCACGGTTATCAGTATTTTCGACTGGATGGAACGACCGGCATTGAACAGAGACAGGTAGGTTGCTTTGTGCTAGGTTGCTTAGTACCTCTCGTTTTGTCTTTATTCAGTGTAATGTTGCTTACACTTTAGAAAGTTCTGAGATTTTTAATCCGCCCATTCATAATCACAGAGGAAAAATTGAACACCCTACTGAATTACTTTCCATTTTAACATTTAATAAATGTGAGATTTATTTGAAAATAGTTTGAATATGATAACGAGTGTTTGAATTAAAAAAGAAATAGGATATTCAAGCAAGCTAACGCTTGATTTTAAAACTTCAAGAATTTTAAATCTGAGATATCTGTATTGTATATTTCTAGGCAATGACCGAACGCTTCAATGCCGACCCAAAGATATTCTGTTTCATTCTATCAACTCGATCAGGTGGCATTGGTGTTAATTTGACTGGAGCAGATACCGTGATTTTCTATGATTCCGATTGGAATCCAACGATGGATGCGCAAGCGCAAGACCGCTGTCATCGTGTAAGTCATTCTTTCACTTCGCTTTTTTTCCAGCAACAAACGCATTAATAGGTCAGCATTGCTTATCTAAATAGGCTAGAATTAACGATCAGCATGAGCTTGAAACTTCAATAAGTCTTAAAAATTTATGAAATATTTGGAGGATTAGCCATGGTGAAATTATTTTAGATTGGACAAACACGAAACGTCACAATCTACCGTTTAGTTAGTGAACGAACAATTGAAGAAAATATTCTGCGAAAAGCGATGCAGAAACGACGTCTTGGTGAAATGGCCATTGACGAGGCAGGATTTACACCAGAATTTTTCAAAGGTGATAATGTAAGGGATTTGTTCGAGGGTGTTGCAAATGTAGTCGACGTCGTTGCTCCAGTTACTGTGGCAGATAATAAAGAAATTGAAAAAGTATGTTTTTACATTTGGAAATATTCAGGTACAAAAAAGGGATGTGCTTTCCAGATTCCGTTCATCCATAGCAAAATATTTTGTATCTCCGATGTAATGTTGTGATAACCACTGTTTAGACTGTACTTGATGGTGATAATTATTATTCACTGCCAACAGATGCACTTGATCGACATGAACAGTGGGCAACATTCATTCTGACTTTTCTTCTAGGCCATGGCAACAGTTGAAGATATACAGGATGTTCATGCAGCACAGCGAGCAAATGCTGAAGTAGAAGCAGATATTGCGGAGTTCGATGAAAATGTTCTAGCATCTTCCGTTGAGAACAATCAAGAAAAAATAGAATCCAAATATTTAGAACTAATAAATCAGGTATATTTTAATTCTTCTCTATTATTAATTCTGAGTGGAATTAGTGACTGTCTATAGTCACTACTTTTTGGTCACTTGGACAGATATGGAGTGGTTTCAAGCGCAGTTCAGGTGCTAACATGCTGAGAGCTAAAATGCTGAGATGGATTCTCCATTCTCTCAGGACTTGGGGTCTGTTTTTCTGTAATAAGAGTAGGCATCATGGTACTGAATAGGTACTAAACAGATATATCTTGATTCTAATACAGTCCGTGTATATAACTAAGTCAGAAGTGGAAATTTCTCACAAAGCACCTATCTCTCGAAAAAATACGATGTGTAGAATGAAAATTTTATCAAATAAATGTCTTTTCAGTTAAAACCAATCGAACGGTATGCAGTAAATTTTTTGGAAGCGGAATATAAGCCAGAATTTGACGAAGAAGTAAAAGAAGCTAAGGTTATTGTGATTTTTACCACTTTCATTTATCATCTATTTCGAATAGAACTTAATGAACTGTTAGTAGTATTGACAAACGTTCATCGTTAACTGTGATACATGTTCCAAATCGTGCTACTGTTGAATAATGAAGAAAAAGCATGCATACTTGTTAAGTCGGTATCAATCAACTTTTCAAGAAATATAACGATAATCTTTACGTACGCAAAACTATATTTTCTCATTTTGAACATCCTTTTTACCGAACTGGATTTGTTTCTAGTTATATTTTTGCTTTACCACGGTAACATTATTAAAATAACTTGGACCTCCAAAAAATGTTTCCAGTTGCAGGCTATGATTGATTCAAAGAAGGATGAATGGATGAAAGCTCAAGAGGATGCGATGGAGGAAGACAATGGTGAACAGCAGAGCGATGATGAGATCTCATTGACATATCTTACTGGATCCGATGTTCCTGGTTCTGTGGACGAGGTACGCTCAAAAGCATCGGCATCACGTTTAGCTACACTTAGGCCTCAGTTGCATAAGCCACATTCACATAATTTACGCTCAACAACATTCTCTACGATGAAAATACGTTCGTCACCACGCCTTGTTCAGACTAAAGCAACACAGTCTGTTTCGGAAAGTACAATTACTAATAAAATAATAGAAACTAAATTACGGAAAACGACGGATAAAATTAATGTACAAGTTCAATCCGAATCTGAGAGTAATCTGTCGTCACTAGTTTCGAAGTCGCAGCTTAAGTCCTTCCCTAAAAACTTGTCGACTGAGAAGTTCCCTAAAGCAGCGCTATCGCGACAATCGAGATTCAGTGTGAAGGAAAGTTCCTGTGCAAGAGTTGTTCCACTTTCAGTTGCTTATACTAAAGCAACGCGCTGTATATCCAGTTCCACTCGTACATCGAATTCTCCAGTTTCATCCTGCAGCACCCCATCGTTTTCATTGTTATCACCAGCTTCTTCCAGCTCTAGGACTTCATCAAAGATCAATACTTTTACTAGTTTTTCACCATCAGTGTCGTCCTCTTATTCTGTTTTGGGAGGTGATAAGACGTCACTGGTTCGTCGTCAAACATTCTCATCGCCATCTGCCACAAGTTCATATAGACCATCGCAGCAGCTACGTACAACTGCTAGTTCTTCGAAATTTCCAGCGCAGGCAACGACAAGACGACGATGTGAAAGTGGAAGCTTCGAATTTGTGAAACCAGTTTTTTCGGCACAAAAAACGTCAGTTCATCATCAGTCTCTGCCGGGAATACGGATAAAGCCGACACTGGGTGACTATGAACGGCCTAGACTGTGTCTGCGAAAGCGTGGTGAGTCAAGAAGTGGTGAAGCGGAATCTTCGTCCATCTCGAATACGGGTTCCGAAAACGTTTCAGAGTCCTGATTACTTATGCTCAAGTGGTCCATGTTAGAGAAGAGGGCTGCTTACTAAATAATAATAGTTTTGTCTTTTGGGTGTCTTCAAAGTTACGTTCTGATAAGTCTTCAGTGAAGTCGTCGTTCAGAATTGTCGTCTAGGGAAGGTGAATATGAAAGTCTATAGGATTTTTGAAGGTTTATTTCAACATCAGAACCTCTTATATCTGAAAAGAATCAGAAACGAGATATTTAAGTCCCAGTTTTGAGCTATCGTTTATTAATAATGATTGGTAACTATTACACATTTTAGTTTACGGCATATGTCATACGTGTAATTAAAACAAATCTCAAAGTTTATTCCAAGAAAAACTTATGGAAGTTTCTTTTTTTGCACTTGCGCTGTCGTTTCATTGATTGCTGCTGAATACACACACCTGCGGAAATTTATTTGCTCATGTATTGTTAGTTGTGTATTTTGAGAAACCTTGCTATATTTTAAAGCTTTTGTTTTTTTACTTGTTTGATTTTTTTCTTGTTGAATATTTGAGAAAGAAAGATGCATTTAAAAAAAGTGTCTTGTGTTTACATTTTCGACTACACACCTGTGAGGCCTTGCTCTGATTAAGGAAAAATGAAAGAAGTTTCACTTGTTCCACGCTTGTGAGGCCTTTTTACTGAGTTTAAATTTTCCTGAAATTTGATCTTCAGAGACTTGCACCTTTTCTGGTGTTTGTTATGATAACATGAAGCTTGAAAAGGAAGAGGATTATGAAAAATGATGCAAATGGCTTCTCAAGTGTGTTGTCGAAAAGATGAAAGAAAGAGCAAGGTTTCACAATAACCACAACGATACGATCTATGAGTGACATAAATTTTGATATAATGTGTGCAAAGAATCTTTGCAAACTTCTCTTTTCCCGCTAACATATCAAATTTCTGGGAATTTATGCCTCGAAAAAGGTAGTTTGTGAGAGGCGAAATTAAAAAAAAGGCTATGGGAGCGAGGTATTGTGGTTTGTCGTGCTTGAATATGCATATTTGATCGAGGCGAAAGATCCCCTCGCTCTATGTTTTAAATAGATGGTTACACTGAGACTACTAACCGAGGTTGATAGATTGCCACAACCGAAACCAAAAAGTGGTTTGGAAATGAGCCGTTATTATTTATCCAGATGTAATCACTGATTGTCAAAGCTTACAAAGTGCTTTGGAGGTGTAGAGAGAGGCAGTTTTAAATTCACTTCTAGTACGTGTCGGTTATTTGTATAGGATGCAGGTAAAATATTGTCAGTGACTAAGTTTCCCACTCATACAGTTTTTGATGATGGCATAACTGAAAGCAGGGACAATCGTATTCGGATTTACAGAACAACTTAGATCATCAGTCATTAATTCATTTAAATCATCATTTTCCTAGCTGTAATTGTCTGCGGTCCTGAAGAATTGTCTCACTGGTATTTCTGATAAGAAATTTTAGCTGAATCAAAGTTGTGGGAATAATTAGCAACATCATATGTTTTTCTTCTCATGTTTATGTGCAGGTGTTTTCTGAAACAACTATGTCTGACACTGAAGTACCCATTAACAAATACATATTGAAATTTCTCAAATACCCGTGTGCAGCAAGCATCGATATGTAATTTCAGACTGGAATTTCAATTCCAAATTGAATCACTGAAACTAATTTCAGGTAATTTGCTTGGACATACCTGGCGAAGAAATGCTGGTTTGTTATTTCGTTCTTAATCTTTTTGCAATTATTTGTTTCACTCATTCAGATTCTTGCTATCCACTTATGAAAGTTAGCTGATCCTTATTTTTGGAAACTTTACATCACAACTAGTTACATTTTAATGAGTAGAAAACTTGTATGAAACTTTTCCAGACCTGGCTACCGCCGTCACCTCCACCTTCTGATAGCGGTGACGATATATACTATGATTCAACCGGTGAATACTGGTTTGAGCAGTTACCGATGGCTGAATGTCGCCTACCAACTACAGTTCACGAGCTTCACCGGCCTCGACCACTTACACCAACTTCATCACTTGTTCCGGAGCAATTTGTACCGGAAATTATAGTTCCACCATCGGCATCATATCAAATGGCGCCCGGTACAATGTCAGCAAGTGTTGCAATGCCACCAATTGTTGCACTGCCTCCGTCACCAACTGGCATGTGTACTGGTTAGTTTTTTATTTCTTTAATTCTAGATTTAGACTGTTGGGAACTGGAAGAAAATTTGTTTTTATTCATCATTTATGACTAACAATCAAGTGACTATTAATTGTGCGCATGTGAGATACGTTTATGCGAATAGAAAGTCGAATTTTCTTATAAATTGCAGTAGCTAGTGGTATTGTCCGTGACATCGTATCATCTCCTACTGCGTCGCTTTCATCAGTTTCGCATGAACGTGGTATAAATTTAATGCCTCAAACGGGTGTATCATCTGGTGCTGCTTACCTTGATACATCAAATCTATTACGGCCTGCTACACCTTCTCGTTTGCCCGGTTCTGTTGATGGTATGTTACATGTTAGATAAATTGAAGTTCTCCATTTCAATTTTTTTGATTTGATTGGAATTGGTTTCTAACCGATTTATTTTTTTGGTGAGAATTTTCAATTCAATCAAACTTTACGAAATCTCAGGAAGACTACATTTCTATAGATTGACAAAGAAATAAATTAATTAGCTATAACTGTTGGATTTATTTAGACGCAATTGATAGCGTGCGAAAATCGGCACAAAAAGCGTTATCCGTACAAGGTACACAAAGATCTCAAACTGGAAGGTAAAAATTTTGATTTCGAATTTTAGTATACGGGATTAAGATGGATAGTGTCCCTGGAACTTTGGAGTTCTTTTAAGTCTGTTTAAAAATTATTAATATTTAGGAGATGGAGACATCTTTTGACGATACATTTTTCTCAGGTAGAGGGCATTGTAAATTGCAGAGCTTAACTTCAATAATTTGAGAAAAACATAAGTTTTGGATAGATTGATAAAAGCTAAATTAAGTCATCCGGTTTATGCCACATTTTAGAGTTACATAAGTACACATATATTTCATTGGTTTTTCGCGTATTTGAATCATTCAAATCATGACTTCATTTAGCGGTCGCCCCAGCTTGCTTGATAGTCGGTGTGGGAAAACTGAATTACGACGTCCTTTCACACCACCTCCGCGTCATCGCGAAGCGATCGATTACGATGGAACGGAATGGAGTATTGCGGAAGATTATGAGGCGCTCATGGTTATTATTTTGATTTGGTTGAGTTTTAAATTTAAAATTCTCTTTCTGTTTAGAGAGGAAATTGTTAAATTGCATTGTGACTTTCAGATTCTAACTGAATTACAACGACTACCGAATCATTTACATTCATCGAAAATTGGGCAGTACGCAAATTGGGACATGGTGTCGGTTTTGCTGGGCACATCATCGGAAATTTATCGGCAAGTTTCAATATTTTTGTTAATTGTCGTCTGAATAAGACTCCCTCTCTTTTATTGTCGGTTTAGAAAATTCTTCACAGCTTATTGATTATTTTGGTTATTAATTTAACTGGCAATCTCTGTCGGAATGTAAACAACACTGTAAGAAGGTGAAAACTACATTCCAACAAATAAAGATTGAGGAACACTTTAAACTAAGTGAAGTTATCTACAACTTTCATCCTTACTTGATTTCACTGACATTTCCATCAGTAATGGTCCTTTTCTTATCCCTTTTAAAAAAGTTTTTTCCGCATCTTTGTTAAAAAAAATATATCCATTAAGTTCACCGCGTCAGTGCTCACTGCATTATCAAATGGTTGTGCAGCCACGTGAAGAGGGACGTATGGTTACGTTGGATCCAATAACGAAGAAAACTCGGAGAGTTCCCCTGTCGACCGGAGAAATGAGTAAGCTGTACAAATAGTATATCTGAATTGGTATCCTAGCCAAGTTATGATCATATTTCTTTTGTATTTTGAATTTAGCATGGAAGTTTTTGAGACTTCGGTCACTAAAAAAATTAAGCTTCTTTACTGACCCGCAGTCTCGAAAAGTTTTTGGTTGAGGTGGTCCAGAACAGAACTATTATGAGCATCAAAAAGCTTCAAATTAGTCAATCATGAAGTTAAGCAATAAACGAACAGTTATAAAATAAAAACAGTTTAACTGTTGCGTATACACCAATTTGTAGTTCACATGAAACGTGGGCGTACGAAAACCGATCAGCAATATTTGGCAGACATTCTTAAGCTCATGTCAAGTCAATATGAAAAAAAAGTTAAAGCACTGAAAGCAGCATCACTAAAGCAAACTGTATTATTCCGTCCAAAAACGAGTAATTTTTTTGAAATAATTCTTTCCATAATCCATAGAGTTACATTTAATTTAAAATTTGAATTTAAAGCACTCAGAAGAGATCATACAGCACAGCTGCCCTTCCACTCTTGCATGTATTACATTTTTATCGAGTGACATTTCTTTTGAGGTTTTACAAAAATTTTTTCGTGGTGCAGTAGAAAACTCTAATTACTGTAGCTGATGACGATACGGAAAAGTGGTGTCCAACACAATCCCATGAATTGAAATTTGCTGAACTGGGGATACGATATGATGCTACAACAACCTGTTCTGATGTAGTTGATTATCGCAATGAACGACGTGAGAAATTACGCGAGCAGGATCGGGAACGCTCGCGCTTGAAGGAAGAAGAGGAGCAAAAAAGAGAAGCCATGGTTGGTTTGTTGAGGTCGTTTGTGAAGGACTTCTAATGAAGGCATGCTCATGTTAGCCTCAAAAACACATAAGACCCTTGTATTAGGAGGTAGAATTACGGTGCTTCAAGGAATACCGAATGGTTTGACAATTAATGACCGTTGCATGTTGCCGTTTCAACATCAATGATGAGTGCTACAGTTACCGTGTAATTCCATTTTCGGCAGGAAGATCATTTCTAATTTGGAATAGCTGAGTATTTGACATGCTATGGTGTTTTACTGGATTTCACTTATACTTTAGTGGGGAAAAAATTTTGAAAAATTGCAGTGAACAGATTATTGTGGAAGTAAAGGGTTTTAATAATTTAGGTTATGGAACAGCAACGAAGTCATGAACAGAAATTAATTCGTAAAGAGTCGGCAGTTACTGCAATCCCTGGTATTATACATTATCAGAAAGTAAGTTATGGAGCTGTCATGGAACATGCACAGCAACAACTTGCTGTCGTTTCAACACCAGTGATGAGCACCCCTGCTGCTTCGACTGTGAGAACCTATAGTTAGTGGACATTTCTTTTTTGTTTTTCCGTTTTTTTCAGACATTTATATTGTGTTATTTTTCAGATGCATTCGCAATCGGACATATCCAAAATGTTTTGTCATAAATATGCTTAAGCATACATAAATGCTGTGTAATCTTTAAGTTGGACCTCAGAATTCATAAATCATTTTCAGTGTTTTTGTTTTATGCCCTATACGAACCCTTTCGTCAAAATAATTTTTTTTGACTATTTTACAGCTTCTGGTAGTTGTGTTCAAGGTCAGCTTGTAAACAGTATTTCTGGACAAAGTACAGCATATGCAGGTGATGCGCCTCAAGTAATTGTTAGTCAACGAACATATGTTGACCACCCGCAAGTGGTGAGTCATATCTGAATTTGAATGACTATATTATTCGTGGGTTATTAGTGTTTGCATGATTAACGAATGTGTTTTTAAAATCAAATTTTAAATACTCTATTATTCTTGCAAACTAAATTAATTGTTCAAACCTTCAAATATGATCTGGTGTTTGAAATAGAGAGCAAAGGGAACGATAATGATCTCTTGTAGTATGCTTCCTCATTATGCAGGATGAAGTTGGAGTTGTGGTGGGTACGCACCGAGTAATAAATTTTTATATTTCATTTTCTAAACGGAAGAACCGTCGTAGTACTTTATGTTTACAAAGGTTTATAATATTGTTGTTTTTCTTAATTAGCTTTTCGCTTTGTTTTCTTTTTAATACTATGAATTAAGAAATTGAAATTTTCAGTTTCCGAAATTCCAGGCTGTATCCGGTGCTGCACCTGGTGCTCACCAGATCAGTACTCGACGTGTTGCGATTTCGGTTGGCTCGGGAACTTCAACTCAGCATCAGATCATTATGACTGGGGGTGCACAGATGGGATCATCTGGTGCACAACAACCCTACGCTGTTGTTGTTAATTCTCAAGATACTGTAAGATAACATCTTTTTGTGAGGAGTAGCCTTATTTTCTATACTTAATTCCTTTTTTTTTATGTTTTATATTAAAGATTCCAATGCGGCAATATTTTTGCTTCGACTTTTAGCTTTCCGGACAGCAGCTTGGTAGTCGTTTTCAGTACACAACGCGACAAGAAGGTGTGAGTGAGCGACAGACTGTTTATCGAACAATACCATCAGCTGGAACAAAAAAAGGGCTTTCTATGCCCACTTCACAGAGGGTTAGCAATATATACAACAAATAATCGAATTAAAATTTGTTTTCTCTAGTCGGGAACGAAATCAGGCAATCTTCATTTGGCTTTTAACCTCTGTCGAAATGGTCTGTTTGATGACATGCTTTGGCGCTTTTTTGCATGTATATTTTACATCATCAACTTCTCATTTCATTAAAAAAATTTTAGAAATGTTTAGGGGAAGTGAAATATTGTTGTTTCGATAGCTTTTTGGGTACTATTTAAATTCTAATATTAAATTAGTATATATTTTAGTATTAAATTAGTAAATTAGTATATGGTTTATCCTATGTTTTTCTTTAAAAATGAATTTTTTCAGCAAAAAATGTTCCAGATCGCGACTGGATATGGAACATCTCTGGAAGCACAACAGCAGATATATGCAACTACGTCACATGCTGGACGGACGCTGATTATGTCGCAAGGCGATGGTTCACAGCTAAGTGAAACGGGTCAAATACAAATGATTCGACCACAAATCCAAACTGGCGGAATATCTATGCGACAGGATGCTCGATCTAAAATAAATCAGCGAGCACCGGTTACTTTTTATTCTGTTGTACGCATTTTTGCTTTTTAGATAAAATTCCTCAAGTGTCCCGCATACACGTAGCTGTTCAGTGTTGTATAGCAATAAAACTGAAAGCTGATTTTTATCAATTTCTTTTCATATTGTACACTTTAGGAGTTTCTTAAGATGTAGAGTTTTTACATGAGTTAAAGTGTTGGTTTGGAAATAATTTTTTTTTATAGAGTCGTTTATATGTCACAACAGCTGCCGGCGATAGAACTTATCTGATGCCGCAATCACAGGTGCGAATGATGCCTAGTGGACAACGAATTACACAAAAACGTACTGCAGGCGCAATACATGCGAAAACAATTGGTGGACAACCGCAGGTGTCTTATTTAAATTACTAGTTGTAGCTGAAGTTTGAATTCTGAAATCCAGATTGATACTCTTCAATAACAAATATTGAGAAGTGTCTCTTTGTTAGATTAGTGTCCTTACATATTTGATTTTACAGGTTGCTATGATGTTACCACGTGGGAGTCCCGTCCAACAGATACGAACAATACCGTAAGTTTACAAAATCTTCATCAATTTCTCGAACTTTATCCATATTTTTTAGTATCACCACTTAATATATTGATGGTCAGAAGGATCATTGATAGGACTGAGAAAATGGAAAAACTGGGGATTCGAAGCATTCAATGCCTTAAACTTTGTCTAGCATTAGAAACTAAAACTATGTTATTCTTCAAACATTCATTTATGGTCCGTAGAATTTGACCAGATATTACAAAAAAGATTTAACCGTTGCTAGTTGAAGACGCAATATTGGTTATCAGAGCTCTCGAGTTCCATCGATTGGACTAGTTATGAGTAGTAATTCAAGGAGCAATGAAATTGTTACTGGTTCTGCAACAAGCAAACAGTTACCATCTGCTAGTAAGTGCACAACTTTGGATCTTACTGCTAATGACTAAATACGATTAAACATAATTAGTGTTAATAACGAATATATTTCAAAGTCAGTTATGTAACGACTTCTACAGAAACTTTTGCTTCTGACTTTCTCGGTATTTATTATTCTGTTATTTTCTGGGTCCTGAGGGACTTATATTGTGTTTTATTTTTTTCTATCATGATTGAGCGCATTATTTGTAAAGCACAACAAATATTTTAGATTAAGTTTTTGGAGACGCTAGTGGGATTCTAAACTGAAAGTGGACGAAAGAGGCGCAAAATTCCTCATCCATTTCTTATAAAATCTCTTTTGTTATTGTCATTTTTTTTCGGTAAATGTAATATTTGTTTAGGTGGAATTTCGCGACAAACCATATCTAGTGCTTCATCAGGTGCCAGGCAGTTAACGGTTGCGGTGCAAGGTGTTGGCAATTCGACCCCCACTATTTTACAAGGTGCTCCAGTAATTTGAATTTCCACCCCTTCATTTAAGTGCGACAGTATATTGCTAGAATATTGCTAGATCCGAACCGCCGTTCGAACGAAGTATCACATTTTTTTTCTACACTTGTACTTTTGATGTGAATATCTTGATAAATTTAGAATATTTTAGATCATCCAGTGAGCATTCCAGCCCAGCAAACACAATACCTACCGCCAATAACTCTTTCAAATCAAGCTAGTGTTCAGCAACGTTATGTAACATCGCAACCATCAACTGTTAGTGGAAACACACCCTCAGTTGGTAATGCCACAGGTGGAATGTAGCTGTTCCACGCAGATATCTCGTAAAGACATTGATCTTTCATGCTTTGCCCGTCCTTTGGTAATTATGATTGTAATCATTATTTCAAGTATTTCAAGTCTTGGCTACGCGTGCACTCATAAAAATTATAGTCACTGCTGTTTAAGTTAACAATTTTTCCTGTAAAGTTTCACATAATTGTAATACTACTTCATTTTTGTAAAGTTAAAAATTTCTGATGAAACTTTTTAGAAGCTGATCTCAGTCATTTCATTTACGCTTTCATTGTATCTGCCTATTTTTCTGTTCTTACTGTATAAAAAGAAATTTTCCAGTTTTAATCTGCATAAAATGCAGTTCATCTGCCTCATATATAAATAAGCTGTTGCCTTTCCAATATTCATGCAGATCGTTATTCGTATACTGAAATTTTCTTAACAATTTCCAGTTCATCAACAGTAATTGGTAAATACCATTATTGTTCTTATTCTCTTTTTTCTTTTGATTTGCCAATTTTTCATTGATAATTTATCTTTGTCCTCAATGATTTATTTGTCAACTGGATATTGGTTTTATATATTTTTTTATGGCTAAGGGAGTTTAACATTAGCTGATTATCATCTCTCGATATTATGAATTCATTCTGAACTTTGGCTTACTCATTACTGCACCAGTTTTTTCTACTTTGGAATCCCTGAATTGTTTACATATTCAAAAAAATTTTGGTATTGATTAGACTTATATAGAACTGCCTAATCCACCTGATCATTCCAAGTACGGGATACTCATTCAGCAGCTCTCTTCTGCCAGATTTGAAATTGAAAATTGATTTCAGGAATTGTTTGTTTTAAAATAATTCTCATATAATGCCTATCATTTACTGCAAAGTATGGATATATCAAGAAGTTTTTCATTTCATCATAATTCAGTCGAATAAATGGAAAATGATCAATTTGTTTCTTCTGTTATCATCTATTAGTATGATTAAAGAATCGAATTACGCACAATATGCAGTAAATTTTTTGTGGTACATTTATACATTGCTATTGCTTCCTTTACGGATTTTGCTTCCATAATTGACCAATTATATGGTATATGGTTGATAACAAATCCGGAAATGATAATGTTTGGTGGATTTTGGAAAGTGTTAGCTACATCAAGAAGTTCAGCGTTCAGTTGTAAATGACAGAGGAAGAGGAAATGACCAGGAATGGATCTTGTGGAATCTTGGCAGAATCCATCGATCGAATTGCGACAAGTGATATTAGCAGTGGTGCTATCTTTAAATCATCATCAACCAACAAATCCATTTCGCCCAACAATAATTGACATCAGTCTCACCTTATTTTTTAAAAGCTGCAACATATTCTATGCATTACTCTTGTATACTCTGTGGTATTAGGTGTGGTACCGCGGTAATGTGCTACGACCTGCTTTTCATAATTTTTACAGATTATTTATATTTTTGCTTTTCTTTGTAGTTTTCAATTAGTGGCGTTGTAAATCAAATGGATGTGAATGTGTGTAGGTGTGTGTACGGGGGTGTGCATACTATGCCACCAGAGGAGTAAGAAGCTGGAAGAGCAGCTACAGCTTCCACCTACCTTAGCTACAGTCATCCAGAATAGACTCGGCCCCCCTTATTCATCATTTTACTTCAATTTTCAACTGAGACAAGAACGGATGAGCAAAGTGATGAATCGACAGACAGACAGATAGATAGACACACACGCATCCATACACCTACACAAGACGGTTCGGTGATACTTCTTCCTGTGGTGCCCTGATTAGAGGGCCTCGAGAACCAACTGTCTCTCTCTCTCTCCACTTGCTTATTTTTTTTTTCGTTGCAGTAGTAGCAGTTCTGATTCTGGAGAAGATTGACCTTTAACCTCGTTGCATTATATCAAATATCGTTCTGATTCATCTGTGTTAGTCTCGATTCGAACTAAATTTAGTGAGTGGAGTTGCTATGTATGTTTGTATTCAGAAAAACAGAGAAAACAGACTTGTCATATGGAATGAATTTCCGCTACTGCCCGGCAGTAAATCCCGCAGAGTGATTTGGTCATATCCTTCAATGATATGGTTATCAGTTGCGTGAGGACGTGTCATGCTGAATCATTCCATCGGACCTATAATTTTTTTGGCTGCGCGAAATTTTGTTATATGTCGTAGGGATGTTCGGATTTTTGGGTTTTAATTCCCGATCCGATTAAAAACTGGCAAGTAAGGGCAAATGACTTAATCCTTGATCTGGTCAAACGCGAAAACAAAAATGACTTCCGGTATAATCATCACATGGCTAGCCATCGTCATGATAAATCTTCTCTTCCTTCCCTACCCTGTGATATTCAGGCTTCGGAATCCGGAACTTTCAACTTGAATCCCTTTTTATCAGCAGAAGGACATCAATATTACGATTCATTTTCATTTTCGATCATCCATACTGTTTTTATCAGTTTATCGCACAATTTAAAATGTTTAGTTTCCTCCAAATTTTCAAAATGCTTTTCTACGTACCATCAAACTTTTATGTCCTGATTCATGAGACAAAGCGTGCTTAACTGACTCATGAGACAAAGCGTGCTTAACTGATCAATGTAGTCAATCCTAACGGTACTAGTCATTTTTCATTCAAACAACAATAATCCTGATGGACTGTGCGTTCATTGTAGTTTTCTTTAATTTAAAATTGGTCTGCTCAGAATCGCTTTAAATAACTTTACTTTTCAGCGCTTGAAAAGTTGCATCACAACGTTTGAATTATTTTTATTGGAAGTTTTTGGACCTTAAAGCTTTGTACGTTTCTATCCTTTTATGGATTATGACTAGTTAGCCGATAAACGTTATCAACAAATCTAAAATTAATTTACCCTTATCGTATTCTTCAGTTATCGTCGGGCCATTTCTTTTCATTAACCATCATCCCTTTTGTTGCATAATTGATATCCTTCAAAAATTTTATAATAAAGCACTCAGAGGGACAT